TTTTTAGGAACACACGTTTTCTGTTTCATGTGTTGATTTCTGGTAATGTCATGCTTTATCAGAACAAATATTATGGCTTCATGTTGGTTTATTTTTGTTTTGAAATAAAGTAAAAATTTGAATATGCTTTTAAAGTTGTCATTTGACGTATGTCTTTGTTAAGTGGGCTTCATAGCCTCTTATTTGGTCAGCCAGCTGTTTTTGCGTTACATTTTAACATGTTCATATTGCATTTCTAAATATTTCAGGGTAATTGTACTTAGAACAATAATGTTTTGAACAATATATATTAAACTTTAAGTAGGGATAAAGATATTAAGCATTTTTTAAACATTTCTGTTTGTTGTCCAAGTAAACAAATTAATGTTAGAGGTTTATGACAAGGAAGTTACAATTTGATTTCTGTAAATTCTTTGCAGAATTATTATATAATAAAACTGTATTTATAATGAATTGTTAAACTGATTGTTTGAAGTATATAGTTTGTTAAATTGTATTTTTAAGTTAATGACAAGAATTATTCCATAAAAACTGTAGTTTTTGAAAATATTTGTAAGTAAATGCATTGGGTGGAAGTAGTCATTTGTTAAATTGCACCTTTAAGTTAATAACAAGAGGGTTTTAGTTTCAGTTCTTGAAATTCTTTGCAGAATTATTTCATAAAAAAGCTGTATTTATAATCAATTGATTTAGTAAATTATTTAATAAGAAGTATATCATTTATCAAATTTCACTTTTAAGTTAATGACAAGGGGGTTATAGTTTTAGATCTTTATGTTCTTTGCAGATTTTGCTCATAAGTCAACTGTTTGTATTTTAAATCAATTTATAAAGTAAATGCTTTGGTAAAATTATAAAAAGCTAGAAGCGTATCATGTGTCAATTAATATTTTAAGTTCATGACAATGGGGTTATAGTTTTGTTCTTTTTATTCTCTGCAGAATTATTTCATTAGAAAACTTACGTACTTATAAACAAATTGATTAAGAAAATGCTTTGAAGAGAAGTATATCATTTGTTAATTTTCAATTTTAAAATGCATTTTGTGTTGTATATATGCTAATAGGATATAATGTACAACACAATTAATTAGAAACAATGCTTAAGTTCTTCATGTATAACTACATCCATTTTTAATTTCTTCAAGCTTACATAATTTATTTGTGTCTGTTTGCATACAATTGATTTGCTCCTTTATTGTTTTTGTTACCTCTCTTCATTAGTTCCCGATACAGAAGGCGAATTTTCAGATTATAATTTACGAAATGCAGGCAACACTAGAAATATATTTTTTCACACACAACTTTATTTTCATTCATTTTTGCCATCATCAATTAAAGACTGGAACAATCTTCCTGTTAATTCGCCATCCATTTCAGTTTTCCAAAGAAGACATGATTATTCAATTGCTGACGATTTAAATGAAGCAATAGTCCTTCATATATACTTATATTTACACAGAACAAAACGATTTGAATTGTAAAAGGAAAGTTATTATCTAGACTAATATGAAATAGAGATTGAGATGCATAATATCTTCTCAAAAGTATATATAAACTCGTTCCATCAACTCCATAGTATTATAGTGACCATTTTCTGTTGTTGTTGTTTCTTCTTCTTTCTCTTAAATCTGTATGTTACATCTAACTTTCTATTACCCAACAATTTCAACAATTAACTTACGTTTCCATCTCTTTTTTTTCCTTAAATTTTTTCAAACATGTTTAAAAGTTCTATTATTTTTCTTGATATGTTTGAACGTACCAATATGTGCATATACACTCACGTGTATTTATACTATAGAGTAATGGGATTTTCCTTCTTTTTTATGTCTGTACTTTATCATTACGGTCGGTTCGAATAGGAAAATCAGAGTGCAAATTGATAATTTTCTTGTACATGTATAGTGAAAATGTTATGTATATTTAACACAAAAATGCATACATAATTGTTACCACTTGACATACTCTTAACTCTTACTATGTTGCTAAAGCGTCCTATTAATTCGCTTGACTGCACATGAAACATCATATATTCTCTATTAATCAGTTTGAAAGTAAAAAAAGAAAAACACATTTTTGTTCTCTCAAAAACTTTTTTTTTAAAAAAACATAATAAAAAAAAAGTCCCTATTGAATGTGGTGACATAAAAAAACACATCCATATTTCTTCTCGTGCCAAGGTCCCAAATAAAAAATTTCCTTTTAAAAATTAAAGGAAAATTTTCCCTTAAATTTAACTTTTTTTGGGTATTTTTTCAATTGCTCCTTTTTAAGCAATAACCCCTTCATATCCTTATTTAAGAAAAAAACTAGGCCAGAACTAATAATAAGTAGAATACTTGAGAAAATGAAAGCACCTCTCTCTGTCCCATAGTAATCAGATATAAAACCTGAAAAGAACAAAATGTGTTCATCAAATAAAATGCTGCCTTTTCATTATATGGGGTTTAGAAATTAAGACCTAAGAAATAAAGGCCATTGATAAATGAATGTCATATACTAACATATCAATATAAAAGTCTTGATCAAAGTTAGTCGATTCTAAGTTCAGGACCTTTTGGACTGAATATGTTAATTGTCAAAATTGAATATTGTACTGGAATGAAATAATAGAATTCAAACATCATAAACAAACTATGTCCGAAAAATCTTGTGGAAAAGGTTCTTTAATATGAGTTTAGAAATGCTAAATACAATAATGTGTTGCGCTACAGTAGCATTTTATAGAGCTAAAATAATGCAAAAATGCAAATTAGGCTTTTTAATTCATATTATCACTTAAAAGACTTTACATCATTAAAATCTTAAGCGAGTTATTTCTGTAGAACCATCTCTTATAACCCAGCTATCTGTGAGTGGCAAGTATTGAATCCTTCCTAAGGTTATATGATGTAAACCATAATGGACAAAAATCACAAATTCGAGCTTACGAAACAACATTGATTAACACTCGCGGATCAAATTTTCATGTATAACGACATATTTAATTACTCTTTAAACAGAATCCAGTACGTTAAGCAATTTATTACAAACCTGCAAGAGGCATGCCTCCAATAAGAGCAAATCCTCCAAATGTTATGACTTTACCGAATCCCAATCTCACATCTTCCTCTGGAAGTACATGGGTAGACATGACGAAAAATAGTGCTGCAAAGCACCGTGAAGATGACAAAGCAAGAGAATGAGATTTTTTACAAATAAGGTAATTAATGAATAAATGTACAATAATAGACTCATTTTCAACTAAATTAATTTGTTCAGCTTATTAATACAATAAAAAATACAATTATAGAATTAGAATGAAGTAAATCATGCAATGTATGCTCAGATAATCGAATCCACTGAATGCAGGATTACAAAAAAATAAATACAAAAATTTAATGGCAATGCTGATTTTTACTTAAACATGTTCAGTTTTGTATATAATAATAAAAGCACTATGAAAAAGCATCTAGACATCTGATTTCGTGGCTTAAGTGTTCGTACTTTTCTATATTAAGTTATGGCTTTGGATAAGACGGCAGTTCAGATTCACCTTGCACTAAACAATAGTTACATTCATGTCTATTTTGATTTTAAAGCAATATAAGGCTCTAGTATATTTAAAAACATTATAAGGGCCATAACTCAAAGATACGCAAATAGATTTGGATTAAATTAAATGATTGAAATACACATTCCTGCCAAGATCTATTAAATAAAAGCACCCCAACATTGAGATTCCTTAATTTTCCGTTAAAATATCTCGCGTAACAAAGAGTTATAGCTCAAATAATATCCGATATACCTGTGCCTATACCGATAAGCCCTGAGATTATGACAAACGCCTCCGTGGATTTTGATTGTGTTATCAGGACAGACGACATCCCATACAACATGATACCACCGGAATGAATAAAGGCTACATACGAAGGCTTCTTTAGAATCAAAAACCCACTAAACATTCTTGAAACTAAATCACATGACCCCAATGTCATCAAGCATATATAAATGTCCTCTGAACTCCTGTTGTACTCGTGCATGAGGTCCGGCAAGAATGTTACAGGGACGTAAACAATAACATAGAGAATAAACGTAGATATGAAGTACAACATGATATTGATGTTTTTCAAAAATCTTAAAATATTTCTAGTTTCTTGATTACCTGCAAGAAATCAAATGCCATATTAATTACATATGTTCCGCCTTTGGGCTTTAAGAAGCGTACAATTTTAAGAATGCTAACAATATTAAAGATAAACAAGATCAATAATAAATAAATGAAATACAGAATATAAAAAACAATTATACAAGGCTATCTACATGTTAATGATAAAGTAGCTCTAAAGAACCAAGAAAAATAGCGTGAAAACGAAAAAGATTTTGAGTGTTTCAAAATCTAAGGCAGATATTTATATAATAACGGTCGTAGAATTAAGAATTGTTAGCAACTGAAGCAACATTCTTGTGAATATGGTAATAATCATTTTAAAAAAAAATAAACAATTTTAATGTCATTCCAAGATTCACCAATGCGAGTTAAGTTGATAATTGTAATAAATTACAAACCGGTATTTGGTATAGAGATTTTAAACGATGTTGCTGACGGGAAGAAAAAATAAACGACGGGAACTCCAACCAATGACAAGCATGCAAGGAACATGTAGGCTTTCCTCCAATCAAATTCATCTATCAGTACTGTGACAGTTGGTGGAATAAATAATGCAGCTAATGGAATTCCAGCACTTGATACAGTTATAGTTAGTGGACGCCATTTATGGCTGAAATGAGCAGCAAGAACTGTATATCCACAGTAATGTAGTATGCCAGCACCAGAACCTAAATTAAAAGATATTGTAAAGGTATTGAGAAAACGAAAAGAATTGTCAAAGATGGAGAGAGAAGGGGATAATATGAAGAAAATAAACATCACAGGCTTGGTTTGTTTAAGTGTCTAGTCAGGGAGGTCATCATGTAAATGATCCAAAGAAATATACAGAAACTAGAAAGTATGTTCCCTCCTCAAAAGTTTTGGTTCATACACGTATGCGTTTTGTAGAACGTTACATTTTTAATGTCATTTAAATAAACGTTTTCTAAAATTAAACCTTTAAAACAACTTTAGGTTTGTAAGATATATTGTTGAACCGTATGGTTTTTGTCGTTTATTTGTTGTGTATCTGACATAAAACCCAATCAAACAAACAAACTAGATTAGGATGAAAATTTTAATTGTATGATATTCAAATATCCAATTTTTTGGGAACAAAGTCAGCTTTTGAAAATTTATTAAAAAGATTATATAAATAAGTTCTAAATGTAAATACCAGCGGGAAAAAAATTCCTGCCTCCCAAGAAGACCATATGTCACATACACTGTTATGGCCCCTGAGAAAGCAAACAGCTTGCCACATACCTAGAGAAAAAAAGTAACAAAAAACACTTTTTTTGGCCACTCTCACCTATTCTTTTTTGGAAAAAACAACTGAAAAGGGACCCCTGAAAAGCGAAAATAACAGGTTTTGATTTTTAAAATTTTGTTTTTGAAAACCCTTTCATTTTTAAAATTAAAAAAAATCGGGAAAAAATCCGGCAGGAAAGTAAAGGGCGAGAAAAGGGAAAGTTTTTTGGCCCAAATAAAAGGCCCTGCGACGGGTTTCTTACACTTTAAAAAATTTCCAAAAAAAAAATTCGGTTTTAAATAGATTTACACATGTCCATTTTTTGTATCTCTTGGTCATCAAGGGTCCACTTAACTTATCTTTATTGCAGACTTTGAGGTATTTTGGTACCATTATAAGAATGCATTGTATGTGTGTATTTTGTTTTTCAGACTCTCCAAAATCCGTTATTTGGTATGTGACTGCTTGTTTTAGCAACCTCGTAGACTTTACTAATTAGTTCTTCTTTTATTTAAAGGAAGCATTTTATATAAGGCCCGTTGATAAATGATGTCACTTCGGATGAGAAATATTTTGGGTAGTCCTGAATGGGTTAATTGGATTGGATCCTCCTCATAAAATAAGACTTGACAACCATAATATACTACTTTTTGTGTGTATAAAACATTCTATAATCTAAATTTGTTTCGGTATGTTTTTGTTGTTATCGTTATTTGTGTAAAATAATGGTTCAATTTATATATGTTGGGAAAAAAAAAACAATTTCCCGTTTTCCCCAAAAATTTTTTTTTTTTTTTTTTTTTCCCCCTTTTTAAAAAAAAAAAAAAAAAAAAAAAATTTTTAAAAAAAACCCAAAAAAAAACCCAAAAACCTTTTTTTTTTTTCCTTTTTGGGGAAAAAAAAAAACCCCCCCTAATTTAAAAATTTTTTTTTCCCCCCCCCAAAAAAAATTTTCCCCCCAAAAAAAAAAAAAAAAATAAATAAATTTAAAAAAAAAAAAAAAAATTTTAAAATTTTTAAAATTTTTTAAAAAAAAAAAAAAAAAAAAAATTTTTTTAAAAATTTTTAAAAAAAAAAAGGGAAAAAAAAAAAAGGAAAATTTTAAAAAAATTTTCTTTTTTAAAAAAAAATTTTTTTAACCAAATTTTAAAAAAAAAAATTTTTTTAAAAAAAATTTTTTTTAAAAAAAAAAATTTTTTTTTAATTTAATTTAAAAAAATTTTTTTTAAAAAAAATTTTTTTTTCAAAAATTTTAAAAAAAATTTTTCCCAAAAATTTTTTTTTTTTAAAACCCTTTTTAAAAAAAAAAAAAAAAAAATTAAAAAAAAAAAAAAAAACCCCCCCCCCCCAAAATTTTTTTTTTTTTTTTTTTTTTAAAAAAAAAGGAAATTTTAAATTTTTTTTTAAAAAAAACCCAAAAAAAATTTTTTTAAAAATAAGGTTTACAATTTAAAAAGGAAAAAAATTTTGGGAAAGGGGAAAAAAAAACAAAATTTTTTTTAAAAAAAAATTTTTAAAAAAAATTTTTTTTTTTCCCCTTTAAAAAAAAATAAATTTTTGGTTTTTAAAAATTTTTAAAAAATTTAAAAAATTTTTTTTTTTTTTTTTTTTTGGTTTAAAAATTTTTTTAAAAAATTTTTTTTTTAAACCCCCAAAAAAAAAATTTTTTTTTTTGGGGGGGGGAAAAAAAAAAAACAACCGGGGTTCCCCCAAAATTTTCCCCCCAAAAAAAAAAAAAAAAAAAAAAAAGGAAAAAAAAAAAATTTAAAAAAAATTAAATAAAAATTAAAAAAAAGGGGAAAAAAAAAAAATTTAAAAATTTTTTTCCCAAAAAAAAAAATTTTTTTAAAAACCCCCAAAAAAAAACCCCCCCTTTTTTTTTCCCCTTTTTGGTTTTTTTAAAAAAAAAATTAAATTTTTTTTGGGGGAAAAAAACCCTTTTTTTTTTTTCCTTTTTTAAAAAAAAAAAAAAAAAATTTTTAAAAAAATTTTTTTTTTTTTTAAAAACCCCCTTTTTTTTTTAAAAAAAAAACCATTTTTTTAAAAAAAAAAAATTTAATTTTTTTTTTGGTTTTCCCTTTTTCCCTTTAAAAATAATTTTTAAAAAAAATTTTTTTAAAAATTTTAAAAAAGGGGAAAAAAAAGGGGGGGGAAAAATTTTAAAAAAAAAAAAAAAATTTTTTTTTTTGGAAAAAAAAAATTTTTTTAAAAAAAAAAAAAAAAAAAAAAAAAATTTTAAAATTTAAAAAAATTTTAAAATTTTAAAAATTTTGAAAATAAAAAATTTTTTTTTTTTAAAAAAAAAAATTTTTTAAAAACCCTATTTTTTAAAAAAAAAAATTTTAAAAAAAAAAAAAATTTTTAAAAAAAAAAAAAAAATTTTTTTAAAAAAAATTTTTAAAATTTAAAAAAATTTTTACAAAAAAACCCCCCTTTTTTAAAAAAAAAAAATTTTTTTCCCCCCAAAAATTTTTAAAAGGGGGGGGGGTTTTTAAAAAAGGAAACCCCCGGGGCCCCAAAAAAAAAAAAAAATTTTTTTTTAGGAAAAAAAAATTTTTGGGTTTAAAAAAATTTTTTTAAACCTTTTTAAAAAAAATTTTTTTTTTTTAAAAAAAATTTTTTCCCTTTTAAATTTTTAAAAAATTTTTTTAAAAATTTTTTAAAAAATTTTTTTTTTTCCCCCAAAACCCCCCCAAAAATTTTTTTAAAAAAAAAAACCCCCCCCAAAAAAAACCCCCCCCAAATTTTTCCCCCCCTTAAAACCAAAAAACCCCCAAAAAAAAACCCCTTTTTTTTGGGGGGAAAAAACCCGAAAAAAAAATTATTTAAAATTTTTTTTTTAAATAAAAAAAATTTTTTTTTAAAAAAAAAAAAACGGGGTTTAAAAAAAACCTCCAAAAAACAAAAAAAAAACCAATTTTTTTAAAAAAACCCTTTTTTAAAAAAAAGGGGTTTTGGAAAATTTTTTTTTTTTTAAAAAAAAAAAAAGGAAAAAAATTTTTTTAATTTTAAGGAGGAACCCCTTTTTTTCCCCTTTCAAAAAAAACCCCCAAAACCCGGGGGAAAAAGTTTCCCCAAAATTTTAAAAAAAATTTCCCCCCAAAAATTTTTTTTAAAAAAAAACCCAAAAAAAAATGGTTTTTTTTTTTAAAAAAAAAAAAATTTTTTTTGGAAAAATTTTTTTAAAAAAAATTTTTTTTTTAAAAAATTTTAATTTTTTTTAAAAACCCTTTTTTTTAAAAAAAAAAAAAAAAAAAAACCAAAAATTAATTTTTCCCCCAAAAACAAAAAAACCCCAAAAAAGGGGAAAAACCCCGGGGAAAGGGAAATTAAATTTTTCCCCAAAAAAACCTTTTGGGGAAAAATTTTGCCCGGGAAAAAAAAAACCCCAAAAAAATTTTTTTTGGGGAACGACATGCACGACAAATGCACACCAAAAGGAAAGAAATATAAAAAGATATTAGGTGTTTTCAGGAAATATGGGACAATCGATATGAAAGAGCTCCAAAATAACATTAATCAAAGTTAACTACACGGTAAACTAATCATTATAATTATCATTATTAACTTAAATCTATCTTTTGCATATTCTATATCCTTACACCTCTGTGAAATGTTTCCGAATGTACCTAACCTCTAAGGTCAAGATTAGTTACACCATATTTGCATTCAAATAGCCCGGTTTCAATGAAATTTTATTTTGATTTTTAAACTGAGAATGTCTCATCGATTATTTCACTGTTTTGTTTCACTAGTCTACTGTAAATGATGTTATATTACCGGTATCCTATATTGGGCTGTTGAGAGCATAACGGTCGTATATATGACGCCAAAGTTGCAAACCGTAATATAGACAAAAATTTCGAAATGAATACGCCTTCCAGAATCGCATTTGCTGACATTTCTAATCAAATTTACAGTTCAAAATCACAAGATCGAATTTCTTATATATATCAAAAAGGTTATTTAAAAGTTTTCGGTACATAACAGAATAAATTTGGTCTTTTAAGCTACACAGTTTGTGAAATAAAATTGGATACGTTTTACGGTTCCAGTTCTCCCTCATGGTTTCTTGAAAATATATTCTTGATATTGTATGATCGGTCAATTCACGGATGACTGTACACACAGTGTAGGAACGAAATCTTTCACACAATTCAATGCGATAACTTCAGATCACTGCTTCATTTACTGCAAGCTTAAACAATATAGCATATACTGCGATCAAAGGAAGAACTCAAAGCACAAAATCGAAGGCGCTGAATTCGTTTTGGTCTCAGAATGTCAGAAAGGTGAAAGTTGTGAGATTAAAAACAAATTTGATTTTGTGGAGTGCCAGCAATGCTGTTTCAAGTGTATAACTGTAGTAAATTGGCTACCAGGATAATTGTAACACTGATTTTCAATCAAATGTTAATTTGACTTACAAAAACAAACAACAACAAAAAACAACAACAACAAAAAACATGAGTTGCCCTAATTGGGCTTTAAACCACAGAGTCTCGCTTCCTAGACGTCTCGCTTCCTAGACGAGCGTGTCAGGGAAGTAATAAGAAAACAGCCTGAAGCAAACCACATTATTCTAAATTAGGGTGGGTAATCCTTATTTATTCATAATAAAATGAATTAAAAATGAATTGAAGTTGATTATCGATCGTCGACTGCCTAAAGTCGTTCCTGTCCTAGAGTCAACATCTTTACTTTATTTTTTAGAAAGTATAAAAAAACAAATGATTATTTAGATATCGCAATAATCCAAAGCTTTGCAGAAATAGCCGTGCAATTTTCATTGATAAAAATGATATTCATCCGCGTAACAAAATTATTTGAATACATTACAAGTAATTTACGGAAATGTTAAAGAATAACACAATATAAGAAATCTTCGACCAATAGAGAACTATTTTTTCTTCCCTGAAAGGGTTTGGAAATTAATGCGTCTGTCATTTGACAATCTTTACGCAGTGATCTTCCCTTAATTTTTCGGCGTTAGTGAACTTTTAAAGGGAAGTAACGAGGAGTTCGTGACGGACTACGTGCAGATTATTTAAATAAGCATATTAGGGTCTTAAATTTCGCTACCATTATTTATTTATAAAAAACTGTAACAAGTAACAAAACATGACGGGTAGTTGTCTAGGAAATGAAAAGTCGATTTTTTTTCAAAGACAGTCTATATCTAAAGATAATAATTCAAAATTGTAATTAGTATCACTTTTAAGCTGGACTGCTAACGGCACTTATCATAACCGTTGGCTAAGAATAGGTAAGAATAACTCCAGCGCTCAATTTTACCAAGCAATGCACCTGCAACAACATTAAAGGGACTCCACTGAAATCTGTTTAAAGTGTATCAGCTGTATGTAAGAAATTGAAATGTTATGATTTTATGCTTTTTGATATCAGTGGAGTCCCTTTATGTACAGAAAGACAGGTTTACTTCACGTTGACTCACTTATATAATCTTTTATATTCAGTAGTAGTTACGGCACTGAGGTACGGGAGTAAATCCTTTATAATATCAATATTTTCTTTGGAAGACAGGCAACACCTCACGAGTAATCATAAAACTTTTGGTTCAAAAACATTTTTAACGTCTTAGTTTTGCTAGTAAGATACTATTTATTATTTAAAGAACGCATAGGGGATAAATATATATTACTCAGAAGGTCAAATCCATCTTTTCCATTGAAGTTGGATCATATATTATTGCTAATATACATGTATATACATGTAAATATACAGAGATTCTCAGAAAGAAATTGATTTTGAAACTATAACAAATAGCAAAAGGGTTGCCCCGAAGTTCTTATAACATTAGCGATCGTCCCCCCTCATTAATAAATGACCCCAAAATGCACTCCTATTGTAACAGAATCGTTCTTCAAACGCCGGAAGTTTGCGTAAATTCGATTACAAGACGAATCCTTTCAATCACCATTAAAATGTTTTTATATACACTCAGTTTATTGGATTATGCAAAGCATCTCCTTGCTATCTTCTAATTCTTTATTTCAATTCTTATGTCTTAGTGTAAATAAAATAAATAAATAAAATAAATAAGCAATAAACATTACAATAATATACACGTTTATTGAAAAGCATATTACATGTTATCCTCGTTAACCCATTAAATCTGTACTCGTTACTTATACATTTCATTCATGATATATATAGTACTGAATAAAAGTTTAACATTTCGTCAATGTCCATATTAACAATTTTACATTTGACTATAATGTTTTAAGGTGTCTTAAAACACGGACAACAAATAAAACAGATACAAAGAATTGTAATAAAAGCATAAAATCTCTAAAACTATTGTTAACAAGGAATATGTGTAACAACGGTAAATGTTTGCTATAATGTATGTGTCACTACTGTGTCAATTTTGTCCTTCGTGTTCTAACAGTTTTATTTAAAGACATCAAAAGATCATCTGTTTGGAACTTATTAAACTTTTGAATTCTTATGATAAAACTGAGCTCATACAATTATACACTGTTCATCAAAAATGCCCTTGCTTATTAAATGTAGAAAGATAACTCTGACATCTGCTCTATCTCCTAATACATGATTAATTGTTTTGATTTATATGTATTCAAATTACTATAAAAAGCCTGTCCTTATTGTATCTCACATTGACAAATATATCTATTTATATATACACACAAGATTATGTACTATGTGCAAATCTGAATATATTATCTGTTCTGTTCTGTTCTTCAGTTTATTTATACATTCAGAAGAATAGTGATGTATTAATATACTCAACGAATATCTGAAAAGAATATGCATCATATGTAGCACACTCACATATAATTATATTAACACTTGCAATTATGTATTGACTAAACAAATAATTCATATTAATATTACCACTGTAGCAAAATAAAATCTGAAGATTAATTCATACCAGGTTTTATAAGATGCAGGTGGTTTTTACAATGAGAACATGTGATGATATCAATTACCACGTATCAAAGTTCCAGAGAATGTGTTCCATCTGTCTGAACCATGAAAAACCGTTAATGTTGAGAAACCGTTTGTCACTTTAACCCCGACGGGCTGGCCAACTGTCAAGACTTCTATCAAGGCAGCTGACTGACATGCAGCGTTTGATTGACTACGGAGAACTACCGGCTGGGTTGTTTGATCGTCCACCGTGATATCGATGTAAAGTCTTTGGCCGCTACTAACACAGAATATAACAGTAAATAAGTACGTTCCATTTACAGGAACAGTAAATTTACCAGTGCTAGAATCGAATGCGCTTCCCTCGTTAAACATCGTGATCGGGAAAACTATATAGCGCCCGGTTGAAGCCGCCGTTAAGTGGGAATTAAGCCGTGCTTTAAATGCAACCGATGGTATTTTGGATTTGTCTGAAAAGAGAATATTTCTATACAAATTAAAAATGAATTCAGTCCTGATCTACTATAATGTTCAACCAGTTTTCCTTGACATGTAGCGAACAACTTTACAATTCACATATTCATGTATTTTAGTACAATGTATAGTATCTTAATATGTGAAAACATGTTATAAAGACTAATTAAGCAATCTTGTAGCAAAATAACATTATAATTCATTATTATATGTTTATTTTGTCATAAGGACTGAATCAAATCCATGAATAAATAACAAAACTATGACAATTTAAGCACATTTCAATTATTATTTCAGTAATAATTGACAATCAAAGTCGTATCAGAATTATTCAACATGGTTTAGTCTTGGGTTTTTGTCCAAGTATGAGTCAAATATGTTAGTTCATTACAAAGTAATGGCAATTTGAAGAAGGCCAAGGTAAATTCAATGATAAGGTCAAATCAGAATAAATCAATGTGCCGCTTTTGCCTCAAGTATGAATCAAATCTGTAATAGCAAAGTTCTGACAATTTAAAAAAAAATCATTAAAAGGTCAAATAACGGTAAAGGTCATTTTTGAATTATTCAACATACGGATTATGTCATATGGAATCCTTTGTTTAAATATAAATCAAATCAATTAATAACTAGCAAATTTATGGCCAAATGTAACAAAATTTATTAATTTGACCTTAAGTTCCAAGGTCAAATCAAGGTCAAGTTCAATTAAACTTTCTTAATGTTTTTTTCCAAGGTTATATGTGCAAGGAAGACAATACATCCATTAATTACGAATAATTTTACATAATCCTTTGATCCATTTACACAGATTATATTATTCTTTACGATCATGGTCAATTTTAAGCTTCAAAATCAATATAAACAACAGATATGCGAAATAAAAATCAAAACTATCGCAATTTTTCTCCATTTACAAAATCTGTCGACAGATTCAAACATGTGCCTCGGCTTTCTTGTATTCAAATTTGAACGTGAGAACCAGCATGTCTAGAATCGAAACAAGGTTCTCACTTTCAAATCGCGTGCATGTTATAGACGTTGAAATATGATTTAAATAAAAAAAACAGCTTAAATTAAGTTGTGTTGTGGTATATAAGAAAATCAATTAATTAACCACATATACCTGCAATAAGATCCACTGTTTTCCGCAATTTACCAACTCTGACAGCAATGCTTTGCTCAAAAGAGTTTGCTTTTACTTTTAGACTCATCTCAAATTTATCCATAGTTTTGTTCAATATCTCTAACGCTGATCGAAAATCGTCTTTCATTTTTGTTGCACTTTCCTCCCTTTCAATTCCTTCCAATTTCAGTTTTTCCATTTGATATTCCATTCTAACTAATTTTTCCAAAATCTTCTCCTCAAAGTCATATTTAGAGCAGTGTTGTTCCTCTGCTTTAACCGTTAGCAAGAGAGTGATGAAAAGCGCGTAAGAAAACATTTTCATGACGATCACTCTAATGATCCAGGATGCCGACCAGCAAGAAAATAAACCTAGACTAGAGTTTATAAACTTTAATAAAACTTTAACATATCAAATAAAAGGGTTGTTTCGGATGTTCATACTGATATCTACTGTGATTATTTCATGGTTTTGTTCAAATCTAAAAAGCTTCTAAAAGTTCCAATTATTTTACATTTACAATGTATAACAAAGTGGTGCTATACGTTTTGTCGATTACCATATTAAATAACCTACACGTATTTAATTCTCGAAAAATTGTAAAAGTCATGCTTTAAAGTAAAACGGAAATAAAACAGAGAAATTGTCGACGCACTCAAACTTATTTTATATTATTACCCCTCACTTTTTCGTAATGCTAATTTCCCATAGGCATCTGGGAGTTATTTTTACTGTTAATGCAAGTGTACCACGTGACTAAGAATTTTGTACTGTTACATAGGTAACAGTATTTTTAACAGTATAAAATCTGGTCACGTGGTCTATTTTCTAAATAAAATGAAATGAAATGGCCGCCATTTTTTTCTCGATTCATTCTTATTTTCGACGTTAAACACCGATAGAACATCAATTTCTTCTCAGGAGTAACAATGACACTCATAAAATTTAGTTGTTCGCACCCTGGTGTGCTTTTCGCGTATAAAATATCTTTTTGTTGAATAGACAAAAAGTGAACATCCGTTTTCAACGGAAGTAATTGTAATGTAAATAATTATGTGTCAAACTGGAACATGCAGACGATTTAAGCATACAACAAAGGATTATTTCACAATTTTAATCAGTGAAATGTTACAGATATTGTGGACAGACATAGGATATCATCATTATTTTGTCAAAAACCATGCTAAGAATATTCTGGAAACAGAAGGATCATATTTCACAGATCATAACCGTGTAAATGGGTTAGTGTTTTGTTTTCTAAATAAAACCTAGCTTATTGTATGTTTATGATTTGTAGATCTCATCACTTGCTTTAAGAATAAAAGAAAAAGAAAACTTCTCAAGTAGGCCTAAAGTACACTTAAAACTTAAAAGGTAAGGACAGTTTAGTTATTGTTACTCTTGGTTTATTTTTGTTACAGTTAGATTTAGTTGACAATTTCAGATCATCAAAGTATTTTTGTTCGGGGTAATAAAATAAATAACACATGGGTTTGTGAGTAACAGTAAATGCTGATACCCTCGGCTACGCCTCGGGTAACAGTATTTTCCTCGGGATGATATTTTTACTGTTACCCACAAACCCATGTGTTATTTATATACTAGTACATGTATTTGAAAATATAAATGATAGTTTTTTTTGCTACGCCTGATATACAACAAAGCAATCTTCTCCGATTGTATACGGTAAATCGCTCTGTCGCAATGTCCGAGCTAGTGCATATCGCCGAATTCCAGTGTCAACAAAGGTAGAATGTTGACTTATTATATACATGGTAAAGCATTCTTGTATTTTCTATCTCAAAACTATGTAATAAGGCAACATTTTACCTTTGTTGACTCTAGCGAAATGCACGGATAGAGCGACAGGGCGATTTACTGTATACCTCCAAAAGAGATAGCTTTGCTGTTACAGCCGTGAATGCATGAGACGATTATCTGTTCTCACGTGTATTCCAATGGAATCAGCAGTGTTGGCATATATGTCTTATCTTGATATTGAAAAAGTAAAAGCAAGGATCATTTCTGATAATGGCTATTATGTCTTTTAGTGATATCCGACACGAGGTTACCCGTCGATTCTGCAAACATGTCAAATATTATTTTCTTGGTGTATTCTACTATATTTCAAACATTTTGCCTCAATAACATGTTTATTCATATACATTTATTGTATTTCATATGTTACTATTTTCTTACGGGTTCATTCATAACGGCGAAATGACGTTACCCTATCTAAAGGCGCTACTAGGGTGGCATCAATGCTTATGTCGTATGACTTTACCACGTCATATTTACATACACTGTTGTTTTATTTTTGCTATTTTATGAGTATAGAAAAGTTATCAGTATTGCTCTTAAGGTACTTTTTATTAAAAGATTGATATCTTAAGTTTAAATTTCTATTTGATTTAAAGCAGGCACCTATGAAGCATTTTTGTAATTGGGTGTGGGAGTGGGGCTTAATTCTATTTGGAGTGGAGGAGGATGGTCTGGTTGTCGTGCCCCCAGGACAAAAATCTACATATCAAATGGTGGCCTCTGGTATATTCCCAGGTGAAGATTTTAGTAAAATATGAATTATGTACAACCTTCTAAATTTACCCCTGGCACTATTTCGTAAGGGATTTTCACTAGACATTGATAAAATTATAACTGTACAAGGAGCATCTCTTCAGCCGTTTGAAATGCTTATCGGCTTATATCTTACATTCATGCTTTTATTTCATATTAATATTTTAAAAATAAACCATATTTAGACACTGTATCGCTGACCATGGACTCTGCAATATGCAGTGTGTGACAATTTTAGCGTGTGACAAATACTATGGATTGCCCTGGCCGCCAACTTAATGATTTTTGATCACTATTTCCGCTGAAATGAGCACCCCCTTACTATCTTGCAAGATAACAAGACAATACAATAACTTTTGAACAACCTGAACAACCCTTGCCTGTTCTTATCAGAGGGTGTTTCTCTGTATACTGTTTTCAACCTATTAATAAATAAATTACTTCACATTGTTTTGCTCTTATCATTAATTACTTAAATTAGTTAGATTAGATATTATTACTTATTATGTATTATCACTAATACGGCGAACGCCCGGACATTCCATTGCAGGGCAGTTGACAAACAGCACCTGCTTCTTTTAAAACAAAAACAAATGCTGAAACTAAAGAAGAGATATTTTGGTAATTACACCGCTCGAACTTTTAAATATTTTATTGTCTTTGTTTTTGACTTTTTTGTCATGACCCTCTCGTCGGCACCGTCATTGGTTCATCTTCATATTTAAGTACATTTCTCAGAAACTTTCCAAAAAATTTCTCAAAAGTATTTTCAAATTCATGTGCGCTATCTTTAAACAATAAATCATCACAAACATACTAGATTGCATGCAACCTATACCCATTAATTTCTTTTCACTCTTATGGCTTGTCCTATGGCTGCTGTTACCAGCTTGAAAGTTTTATGCGGTACATATATTTTGGTTGAGTTTTATGAAACACCAACACTGTCATATGGCGACTTTCCAGCTTTACTGGTGAATGAAGACCTCGGGTGCCCTTCTGTGCATTATTTCGGGCACAAGCGGGCACCTGAGTAGAACCACCGACATTATGTTAACTAGCTAATATAGCTGCCTCACATGGAAGAATCAAAGAATCGAGATTCGAACCTACAGCGGTTAGGGGCAAATGGTTTGCAGTCAACGACCTTAACCACTCGGCCACGGATGTCCCTTACATATTTATCTAATAATGAAAAATAAGCATTGACTAGTATGTCCCAACATTCACTTCCAGATTTCTTATAAAATCTTTGCATCCAAATTTGGTTAGTCCTGCCATATTTACATTGAAATCAACTAAAATAGCCCTCAGTAAATTCAGGTAGGGTACGTATATAAATATAGATATACAAAAGTCAAATAAAATAGATTTAAAAAAGGGCGAAAACGCATTCTCAAAATTATTCTCGTCTGCTTTACTTTGTTTAGCAGTCATTATTAGATCAATAACTTCTAACGTAAATCAGAATTTTTTTTCAAATTTCATTTCATTTTATCGAGATTTACTTTTTTCCAGTGTGGAATAAATAAAAAGTCTGTTGGCAATATTTAGGTAGAGAACAGAAAGTGTCCTGTTATCATGTTGATGGTTAACATTTAGAGCATTTTGAGAAAGGTCAAAATAGTCTTTTTCTTTAAATTTTCCTTTGCAATTCATCTCAATATGTAACGTATATTTCCAGTGTGCAATTTACTAGTATATCAGAATAAAATTATGGAAAATTTAAATATAAATTTAGCAGTTACCAAACCACACCAATTGACAATTATTTTGATCACTTTATAATGACCAGTAGGTTGATATTGTTGTCTAAATCTCTTATTGTTCAATAAGGAGAAATGTGTTTTTCATATAAGGGAACTATCGGGCAAGCATGCCTTTATTAATCAGGTTGCTGTTTGTAAATATTGCAAATATCTGCTGTATGACCTTAACTAAGTATATGTATCTATGAATTAAAACTAAAGAAATGATTAAAAAGAATTTTAGTTAAAATGAAAGTAGATATGATTTATTAAGAAAGTACACAAGGAAGGGAGACAACTCATATTTTATGAGAGTTGCAATATGAACACATTTGTCTCCCTTATGATCAATTACTATGAAAACTACATATTAATATGGAAAATACAGAACGTATATATTTGTAATTTTCTTTCAGGGTTTTGCCATGTACATTTGTTCATATATTTGAATATAGATAATACCACTGTACATTGTTGTTGTATTTTTATATCTAGATTAATATGGATGGTGATCACTGATGAGGTTAATTAGGAAGTTTTAGAAACAGATTATATGGTTGTCATCTTTTTTCGCAACAGAACAAAATACATGTTTTTACACAAATTTATATATGTTAAGCAAGAATTTTAATATGCATACATATTTTACGCACTGGCAACTTTTGAATTATTACATTTTGAATTTCATTTTTAAATGCACGGCGGATATCCTACAGAACTCAATATTCAAAAAATTTGACGCTGCTACAGAATGTTCATCCTCTAAAAACACATAAGCAACGGAAACATTTGTACCTTATGAAAAACAAATCTTAAATATTTAAGCAAGTGTGTCCCTTGACTGATCGGTTTAGTTTTTTTTCAGGACGTTAGATCAATGTGTCAAGGAATCAAGGTAACTGTAGCTAAAATTGCGTATCTTTGCAGAACGTTTATTTGCAAGAAAACGCAATAACATGCACGACAAACGCACCCAAGAAAGAAAGAAATATAAAAAGATTTTATGTGTTTAAGGCAGTATGGCACAATTGATACGAAAGAGCTCCAAAATAACAGTTGTCACGGTTAACTAATCATTATAAACTTTTATCTATCGAATGTACCTAACCTCTAAGGCAAAGATTAGTTATACAATTAATTTGCATTTTAATAGCCTAGCTTCAATGAAATTTTATTATGATAATTAAACTGAAAAGTACTCATTGTATATTACACCGTTATGTTTCAATAATCTACTGTAAAGGATGTAATATTACCGGTATCCTAATAGCTATATTGGACTGTTGAGAACAAAATGGATTTTTTTTGTATATGTGACGCCAAAGGTGCAAACCATGATATAGAGAAAAGTTTCGTCTTCCAGAATCGCATTTTGCTGACGTTTCTTATCAAACTTACATTTTCAAAATGACAAGATTGAATTTCTTTTATCAAAAAGGTTGTTTAAAAGTGTTCTGTACATTACAGAATATATTTGGAGTTGTAACCTACACAGTTTGTGAAATAATATTGGATACGTTTAGCGTCTTAAATTCTCCCTCGTGGTTTCGTGAAAATATAATCTCGATATTAAATAATCGGTTAATTCATGGATGACTGTACACACAGTGTAGGAACGAAATCACTCACTACAAGTCAATGACACAATTCAATGCGTATGTGTTATTGTGATTACAGACACTTTTTGTTTCTTCACATCACTGTATCATTTATTGCAAGCTTAAACATTAATTTTGCATGATGTATCATATACTGCGATCACAGGATGTAAATAAAACAAGACATGACGGGTAGTTGTCTAGGAAATGTAGAGAGTCGATTTATGATTTTTTCAAAGATAGTTCAAATTTAAAGATAATAATTCAAAACTGTTATTAATATCACTCTCAAGCTACTTTATACTCGTATTGCAAAAAAACGACCTACAATTAAAAAACGTTGCAAGGTTTTCGCTCAAATCGGACTAAGAATAGTACACAAATACGAATTTCAGTTTATTCATATCATAGTTCTTATTAACCTTTTGCATATTTTGCTGTTTTAAGTGTCAAAGCTGATGTATGTCAGAAATTCAAATGTTAAAATTTTATGCTTTTTGACCTACTTGGAGTTCCGTTAAGTATAGAAATTAAAAGGCTTACTTCACGTTGACTCATTTATATAACCGTTAATATTCAGCAGTAGGTACGGCACGGAGGTACGGAAGTCAAACCTTTACGGTATCCATTTTTCTTTAAAAGACAATACAAAAAGGATAGATTTAAAAGCTCGCCACCGCTCCCACATAATTTTATGGACAATGTGCTAGCATTTCACACGTAACCAGTGACATAATCAGAACGTTTTAGGGAAGAGTGACATTTTTAATGTAAGTAGTTCAGTCATGTTAGTGATTTAATCAGATTATCAGACATACATGACTTTGAGCACAGCACCTCATCAGTAATCAGAAAACGTCTGGTTCAAAATTAAATCAAAAATAATGTTTAATGTTAGACTGATACTTGGACATGATACCAAAAGAACGCATATGGGATGAAGATATTTTATGAACCAGGTCGAATTATATACCAAATATTTGCCATAAATGAATAACCCCAAAATGCATCCCTATATATTGTAGCAGTATTGTACTTCAAACGTCGATCGTTGCGTCACTTCCACAAAAAGACGAATCATTTCATACACCATCAAAAAAGTTTTATATACACCCAGTTTATTGGATGATGCAAAGCATCTCTGTGCTATCTTCTAATTCTTCATTTCTATTCTTATATCTTAGTGTAAATAAAATAAATAAATAAAATAAATAAGCAATAAACATTACAATAAAATACACGTTTATTGAAAAAGCATATTACATGTTATTCTCGTTAACCCATTAAATTTATACTCGTTACGTATACATTTCATTAATGATATATATAGTATCATGAATTCATAAATGAATAAAGGTTAAACATTTATTTGTCAGTGTCCATATAAACAATTTTGCATTTGATTATAATGTTTTAAGGTGTTTTAAAACACGAACAACAAATAGAACAGATACAAAGATTTGTAAAATGAAAGTATTTAACCTTTAAAACTTTTGTTAACAAAAAATATGTGTCACAATTTAACGGCAAATTCCATATCCAGTTTGAAGTAGTTGTCACTGTTTGTGTTCAGACAGGTTTACATGTATTTTTATATGCAGAAGTATAGTCATGCAATTTATATACACAAACGAATATCTGAAAAGTATATGTTTCATATGTTATATATGTACACACACATAATCATAATTATTTAACAATTGCAAACAAAGTTTGATATTATGCATTTACTTAATAAATAATTCATATTATTATTTTATTATTACCACTGTAGCAAAATAAAACCTGAAAGTTTATTTATACCAGGACTTATTATAAGATGCAGATAGCTTTTAAAAGGAAAGAAGTACATTTGATGACATCAATTACCACGTATCAAAGTTCCAGAGAATGTGTTCCATCTGTATGAACCATGATGAACCGTATGTGTTGAGAAACCGTTTGTCACTTTAACTCCGACGGTCTGGCCAACAATCAAGACTTCTATCAAGGCAGCTGACTGGCATGCAGAGTTGACTTCACTACGGAGAACTATCGGCTGGGTTGTTTGACCGTCCACTGTGATATCGATGTAAAGGCTTTGCTTGCTCCAAACGCAGAATATAACTGTAAATAAGTACGTTCCATTTACAGGAACAGTAAATTTACCAGTGCTAGAATCAAATGCGCTTCCCTCGTTAAACATCATGATCGGGAAAACTATATAGTCCCCGACGGAAGCCGCCGTTAAGTGGGAATTAAGCCGTGCTTTAAATGCTACCGATGGTACTTTGGCTTTGTCTGAAAAGAGAATATTTCTATATAAATTAAAAAATGAATTCAGTTCTGATCTATTATAATGTTCAACCATTTTTACTTGACATGTAGCGATACAATTTATATATTCATACAGTACAATGTATAGTATCTTAATATGTAAAAACATTTTATAAAGACTAATTAAGCAATCTTGTAGCAAAATTACATTATATAACTTATTATTATATGTCTATTTTGTCATAAGAGCTCTTTTTCCCTAGAATGAATCAAAGCTACGAAGAAATAACAAAACTATGACAATTAAAGCACATTTCAATTATAATTCAGTAATAATTGACAATCAAAGTCATATCAGAATAATTCAACATGATTTAGTCATGTTTTTTTTTTCAAGTATAAATCAAATATGTAAGTTCATAACAAAGTAATCATTATGGCAATTTGAAAAAATCTCAATAAATTGACCTTGATGGCCAAGGTAAATTCAATGTCAAGGTCAAATCAGAATTATTCAATGTGCCGTTTTTGCCTCAAGTATGAATCAAATCTGTGAATAAAGAGCAAAGTTCTGACAATTTAAGAAAATTGCATTAGAGGTCAAATAAAGGTAAAGGTCATTTTTGAATTATTCAACATACGGATTATGTCATATGGAATCTTTTGTTCAAGTATAAATCAAATCAATAAATAACTAACAAATTTATGGCCAAATGTAACAAAATTCATTAATTTGACCTTAAGTGCCAAGGTTAAATTAAGGTCAAGTTCAATTAAACTTTTTTAATGCCTTGTTCCAAGGTTAGTTGTGCAAGGAAGACAATACATTCATTAATTACGAATAATTTCACATAATCCTGTGGTCCATCAACACAGTTCATATTATTCTTTACGATCATGGTCAATGTTAAGCTTCAAATTCACTATAAACAACGGATAAGCGAAATAAACATCAAAAGTATTGCGATTTTTACTCCTTTTACAAAATCTCTCTACAAATTCAAACATGTGCCTCGGCTATTTTGTATTCAAATTTGAACTTGAGAACCAGCATGTCTAGAATCGAAATCAGATTCTCACTTTCAAATCGCGTGCATGTTATAAACGTTGAAATATGATTAAAAAACCCAGCTTAAATTAAGTTGTGTTGTGGTATATAAGAGACTCAGTTAACTTACCATGTATACCTGCAATAAGATCCATTGTTTTCCGCAATTCACCAACTCTGACAGCAATGCTTTGCTCAAAAGAGTTTGCTTTTACTTTTAGACTCATCTCAAATTTATCCATAGTTTTGTTCAATATTTCTAACGCTGATCGAACCTCGTCTTTCATTTTTGTCGTACTTTCCTCCCTTTCAATTCCTTCCAATTTCAGTTTTTCCATTTGGTATTCCATTCTAACTAATTTTTCCAAAATCCTCTCCTCAAAGTCATATTTAGAGCAGTGTTGTTCCTCTGCTTTAACAGTTATGAAGAGAGTGATGAAAAGCGCGTAAGAAAACATTTTCATGACGATCACTCTAATGATCCAGGATGCCGACCAGCAAGGAAATAAACATAGCCTAGAGTTTATCAAACATTATAAACTTTAACATATCAAATAAAAGGGTTGTTTCGAAAGCTCATACTTACATCTACTGTGATTGTTTTATGGTTTTGTTCAAATCTAAAAAGCTTCTAAAAGTTCTCATTATTTTACATTTATTACAAAGCGATCTTGTCGATTACCGTGTAAAATAAACTACATGAGTTTATTTCTCGAAAAAATGTAAAAGTCATGCTTTAAAGTAAAACGAAAAAAAAAAAAAAAAAAAAAAAAACAGAAAAAATGTCGACGCACTGCAATCTTATTTTATACTAGTTAGTTATACTAGTATAACTTATAATATACTATTAAATGTATTTGGCTACGCAAAATGACGCCAGGTATACAATGGTATACAACAAAGCTATCTCTTTCGATTGTATACGGTAAATCGCTCTGTCGCAACGTCCGAGCTAATTCATGTCGCCGAATTTCAGTGTCAACAAGTTGTACATTGCTGACTTATTATATACATGGTAAGCATTCTTGTATTTTAATCTCAAAACTACATTATAAGGCAACATTGTACATTCGTTGACACTAGCGACACGCACTAGCTCGGAAAGAGCGACAGGGCGATTTACCGTATACCCCCAAAAGAGATAGCTTTGCTGTTACAGGCGTGAATGCATGAGTCGATTATCAGTCCTCATGTGTTTTCAAATGGAATCAGCAGTGTTGGCATATATGTCTAATCTTGATATTGAAAAAGTAAAAGCAATGATCATTTCTGATAATGGCTGTCATGTCTTTAGTTTGGCCCGTGATATCCGACGAGGGTACCCGTCGATTCTGCAAACATGTCAGATATTTTTTTTCTTGGCATATTCTACTATATTTTAACATTTTACATCAATAAAACGTTTATTCATATACATTTATTGTATTTCATACGTTACTATTTTCTTACGGGTTCATTCATAACGGCGAAATGACGTTACCCTATCTAAAGGCGCGACTAGTGTGGCATCAATGCACATGCCGTATGACTTTACCACGTCATATTTACATAAACTGTTGTTTTTTTTGCTATTTTATGAGTATGGAAAAGTTATCAGTAATTTATTTAAGGTACTTTTATTAAAAGATTGATATCTTAAGTTTTTCTACTTGATTTAAGGCAGGCTCCTAGGAAGCAGTTTTGTACTGGGCGTGGGGTTGGGCTAAATTCTATTTTGGTTGGAGGAGGGTGGTCAGGGGGTCGTCCCCAGGGGAAAAAATCTACATATTAAATGGTGACCTCTGGTGCATTTACAGATGTAAATTTAAGTTAAGTATAAATGAAGTACAAACTTCTAAATTTCGCCAGAAATTTTCAAACTATAACCAATGCACTATTCCTTATTGGAATTTTCACTCGACATTGATAAAAATGATAACTGCACATGGTACATTTTCAGCCCTTTGAAATGCTCACCGTCTAATATCATTATTTTTTTATTAATATTAAAACAGAACCATAATTTGGCACTGTGTTGCTGACAATGAACTCTCTTATATGCAGTGTGTGACAATGTGTGACAAATACTATGGATTGCCTAAGCCGTCAACTAAATGACTTTTTGATCTCTATTTCCGCTGGAATAAGCACCCCCTTGTTACTGTCTTCCAAGATAATCTTACAATAACTTTTGAACAACCCCTGCCTGCTTTTATCAGAGGGTGTTTCTTCGTATACTGTTTCAACCTATTAATAAATAAATTATTTCACAAAGTTTTGCTCTTATCATTAATTACTTAAATTAATTAGATTAGATATTATTACTTATTATGTATTATCACTAATACGGCGAACGCCCGGACATTCCAATGAAGGGCGGTTGACAAACAGCACCTGCTTCTTTTAAAACAAAAACAAATGCTGAAACTAAAGAAGAGATATTTTGGTAATTACACCGCTCGAACTTTTAAATATTGTATTGTCTTTGTTTTTGAGTTTTTGTCATGACCCTCTCTTCGGCATCGTCATTGGTTCACCTTTATCTTTACGTACATTTCTCAGAAACTTTCCAATCTAATTTAACCACAATAGCACTTTATAAATATTTGACGCCAAAATCAGAAGGGCAGATAATCATCATAAATTATGCCACTTTTTTTACTAAGGTGTTTTTGACACGGTTTCCTTTTTTGTTAAGGTTCATTTCTCAAAAGTATTTTCAAATTTATATGCGCTATCTTCAAACAATAAATCATCACAAACATACTAGATTGCATGCAATCTATACCCATTTATTTCTTTTCTCTCTCTTGGCCTTCACAATATATTTATATCTTGTCCAAGGCTACTATTACCGGCGCGGTAAATATTTTTTGTTGAGTTTTATGAAACACCAACATTGTCATATGGCGACTTTCAAGCTTTACAGGTGGATGAAGACCTCAGGTGCCCCTATGTAAATTATTATTTTGGGCGCAAGCGGGCACCTGAGTAGAACCACCGACATTCCGTAAACTAGCTAATATAACTTCTACACATGGAAAATCTAAAAATCGAGATTCGAACCTACAGCGGTAAGGGAAAAATGGTTTGAAGTCAACCACCTTAACCACTCGGCCACGGATGTCCCTTACATATTTATCAAATAATAAAAAATAAGCCTTGACTAGTTTCTCCCAACATTCACTTCCAGATTTCTTATAAAATCTTTTCATCCAAATTTGGTTAGTTCTGCCATATTTACATTGAAAGCAACTTAAATAGCCCCGATATTTAAATGTGTTTTTTCAGAAAATTTAGGTGGGGTACGTATATAAATATAGATATACAAAATTAAAATAAAAAAGATTTTATAAAGGGCGAAAACGCATTCTTAAAATTATTCTAACTCATCTGCGTTACTTTGTTTAGCAGTCATTATTAGATCAATAACTTCTTACGTAAATCAGATTTTTTTTTCAAATTTCATTTCATTTGATCAAGGTTTACTTTTTTCAGTTTGGAAGAAATAAAAATTATATTGGCAATATTTAGGTAGAGAACAAAAAGTGTCCTGTTATCATGTTGATGGTTAACATTTAGTGTATTTTGAGAAAGGTCAAAATGGGTTTTTTATTGTACCGGACAATTCATCACACTTTGTAACGTATATTTTCAGTGTGCAATTAATATCAGAATTTAGCGGTTACCAAACCACACCAATAAATTTTATTGGTTACTGGATTCACAATTAATTTGGTCGCTATATAATGACCAGTAAGTTGATATTGTTGTCTAAATCTATTGTTGTTGACTAAAGTCCAATAAGAGGAATGTGTTTTTCATATAAGGAACTATCGGACAAGCATGCCTTTAAGCAGGCTGTTTGTGCTGTTTGTAAATATTGCAAATATTTGCTATATGAGCTTAACTATGTATATCTATGTTGAATTCAAACTGAAGAAAATGATTAAAAAGACGTTTAGTTAAAATGAAAGTAGATATAATGATAATACAAAAACAGCAAAATGACGTTTTAAAGGCCCATTATAAGCAGGAAATGCTTTAATTTTTATTTCTCAAAATATTTTTGTTATGGTGTCATGTTATGGTTTCTAAGTAATCTTTTGCTTATGTTGCCTTTTCGCAATTAGCACAGTTTGTGGTTAAGTATTTTGTATTTTACTTTGTTTATATTTGCTACTTTTATGAGAAATAATGTCACATTCAGCGCACCTTACTTAAGACGATAAGGATCTTACACGCATTCATACAGTACAAAAGTAAGAGAGACAACTAATATTTAAGGATAGTTGCAATATGAACACACTTGTCTCCCTTTTAATCAACACAATTTAAGACCCCTGATAACTTCATAAGATAACATTTTTTTCCTGTGCTTTGCATGCACATTTGTTCATATATTTGGATATAGATAATGCCACTGTACATAGTTGTTGTATCGTTATATCTAGAATAACATAGATGGTGATCACTGATGAGATTAATTATAAAGTTTTAGAAACAGATGTTATGGCTGTTATCTATTTTCGCCAAGTTTTAACATTGGACATTTTTCCTCAATATGTTTGATTGCTAACTTTACGTTAGTAATTATACGATTATTCTCTTGCAAATTATGGAACATACCATTTGACACGAAATACAGAAAAAAATGTTTTACAATTTTATTCTAGGTATCTGAATTATTACGCATACACAGATTTTCATGATGCAAAATCATTTGTAATAAAGTGTAGGGGCAGAACCATGTCTTGTATGTGACACATTGTCCTTCATCTCTTCTCTTTATATAATACAATCTTCGCTTTAAGCAAGTACCCCTCAGAACTGATTAAATCGTATTCACAGCGGTATACCGTTCCCCGGATATTGCTCGATATTATGAGGACTTTCATTCCATTTCGCAACTTTCAACGGGGACCAAAGGTAAGTTCAGTACCTATATTTAGTCATTTTGAATTGGTTTGATATAAATTTTATAGAAAAAACAAATACTTCGATAATTTCTCTAGTTACTGAAAACCCTAAAATGTTGAGAAATAGCTTTGATATGTAATAAAGAGGTTAAATACGTCTGTTTGCTCACGTGATAAATGAGCTAGGATCAGTCAAATTTGATGTTTTCGTTAACCCTTTCCCTCATGTGCATATTGTGAAAAATGGCCGTTTTCACTGAAAAGCCTCCTGTTACAAGTTCAAACTGCTATGAAACTATGAAAAATGCTTCAATACTAATCAGACTTGGCACAAATGACTTGACTGGACCATTGCCTTTGTAACGACATGCTCAGTCTTACATTTCCTGTTACCATGGCAACGAGGGGACATCTCAAAATTGCCCAAAAACACTATTTTGCCTCGAATTTTCCATCAAAATTTATTTGAAAGTGCTGCAACTTCTCAAGGGATCGAGAAAGAGTCAAAGGCTTTTCAGCGTTGGTTACACGTTACCTTATGATCGACCTGGGGTCATTTTTAGCCTCTCACAAAGCCAAAAATTTATTGGCGATGAGGGGGACTCCGCCCCCTACAAACCCCTCAAACAGAAGGGGGCACATTCCCCTTCTGGCAACCCCCTGATGTATCTTTTGGATGGGGGCGGCGCCGAAAAAGTTCTCACATTTTTATCAACATTTCTCAAACGAAAACATGTGTATGGGGCCCAAATAGGACACTTTTCACTATTTCAGGCCTAAAAAAAAGGGGGGGGGTCGAAAGTGCGTTGTTTCGCGTATATGTGGTAAAGGGTAAAAAGACAAACTTAATTCGAGTGAAAAGTGATAACGATGATAATATTTATGTTGTAAATGCTCAATCAACAACAGAATCTCAGATGTCAGCGTATTTTGAGAATAAATACACATGTCAGTGTACCGAGTATTGCGTTGGAGTTGATCATCGGTGTCACGAGTATTGCTTTTTAGTGTAACGAGTATTGGCTATTAATATCGAGTTAATGCGAGTAATAAACACAGAGTATTTACCCCATTCAATCTTAAATATTTCTTATTGTGTATACTTATTGACTCTTCATGAGCAAAATATGCATAGTTCGGAGGTACTTTACTGGAAACATCTTCGATTAATCCATAGGCTGTGAGATTTTCATTTCTGCTCATGAAAAAACTCATTCGAACGAAGTCAGCATTTTCTGTGTTTACAAAGTTCTCGCTGCTATCGAAGCATCAACCTTTTCAGAATTCATTAATAATTATTGCATATCTTACTATAAATAGTAACAAAATTGTATTTTAAGAGAGTGCATTAATTCTGACTCAAGATTGTCAATATAAGACGTATTGAGCAAGTGTGCCATATCTGAGATATGGTCATTCTGTTTTGCAATACACTGTACACTAAAATTGGGTTATTTTGTAATACTTTCTTGTATCTTTTTTGGCCTGTATCTTTTTGTATTTTCACACGTTTTGCCTGACATTTGGACTAAGCATACTTGGATTATGAATAAAAGAAAAGAAATGCTCATTTCAATTTTTTTTATCTTGGTCTGATAATTATTTCTAACGATTCCACAGTATCAGGGCAATATTTTCTAGTGAGCAGGTAGTTTAAAACATTTTGTAAATTTTACAAATACCTGTAATACGTTGATGTCCTTTAAATTTGAAAAGTGTTGCCAGGCTTTTCGCTCAAATAGGACTAAAAATAGTACAAAAGTACGTTTTTCAATTTATTCGGAGCATAGTTCTTAATAATTTTTGGCATATTTTTCTGATGTATACTAGAAATTCAAATGTTTTTATGCCTTGGGACCTCAGTGCAGTTCCTTTAAGTATAGAAAAAAAGGCTTACTTCACGTTTACTCATTTATATAATCGTTTATATTCAGCTGTAGTTACGGCACGGATGTACGGGTGTCAAACCTTTACGGTATCAATTTTTTCTTTAAAAGAAAATACAAATAGGAGAGATTTAAAAGCTCGTCATCGCTCCCACACAATTTAATGGACAAGACGTAATGTGTCAATCGTAACTAGTGGCGCAATCAGTACTTTTAGGGAAGAGTTACATTTCAATGTAAGTAGTTCAGCCATGTTAGGTATATAATCAGATTGATAGACATAATGGGACTTTAAGCACAACACATCACTAGTAATCAGAAAACGTCTGGTTCAAAAATGATGTTTAACGTCTTAGGTTTGCTCGTAGACTGATCCTTTGACATCATACCAAACAACACATATTGGATGAAGATGTTTTACGAACCAGATAAAATCACGTACCACATTTTTGCCATAAATGAATGACCATCAATGGCATCCCTATATATGGAAACAGTATCGTACTTCAAACGTCGTACGTTGCGTCAATTCGACAACAAGACGTATCCTTTCAAACACAATCAAAAAGGTTTTTATATACACAGTTTATTGGATGATGCAAAGCATCTCTGTGCTCTCTTCTAATTCTTTATTTCTATGTTTCTGCCTTGATGTTAATAAAATAGATAAATAAAATAAAAAAGCAAAAAACATTACAGTAATATACAAGTGTATTTAAAAGCATATTACATGTTATCCTCGTTAACCCATTAAATTTTTACTCGTTACGTGTATAATTTCATTCATGATAAATACAGCACCATGAATTTATACATGCATTAGAATTAAATTTCACGTCAATTTACATATAAACAATCTAACATCGGACTAATATATTTAAAGATGTTTTAAAACACGAACAACAAATAGAACAGATACAAAGATTTGTAAAATGAAAGTATAAAACCTCTAAAACTATTGTTAACAAAAAATATGTGTAACAACGGTAAATTCCATATCCAGTTTGAAGTAGTTGTCACTGCTGTGTTGATTTTATCTTTTAGTGTTCAGACAGGTTTACATGTGTTTATATATGCAGAAGAATAGTTATGTATTTTATATACACAAACGAATATCTGAAAAGAATATGTATCATATGTAGAACACACGCACACATTATTATATTGACACTTGCAATCAAAGTTTGATATTTTGTATTGACTAAACAAATTATTCATATTAATATAACCACTGTAGCAAAATAAAACCTGAAGGTTTATTTATATAAAACCTGAAGGTTTATTTATACCTGGACTTATTTAAAATGCAGGAGTACATTTGATGATTTCAATTACCACGTATCAAAGTTCCAGAGAACGAGTTCCATCTATATGAACCATGATAAACTGTATTTGTTGAGAAACGGCTTGTCACTTTAACCCCGACGGTCTGGCCAACAATCAAGACTTCTAACAATGCAGCTGACTGACATGCAGCGTTGCCTTCACTACGGAGAGTTACCGGCTGGGTTGTTTGACCGTCCACTGTGATATCAATGTGAAGGCTTTGCTTGCTCTGTACGCAAAAGATGACAGTAAATAAGTACGTTCCATTTACAGGAACGGTAAATTTACCAGTGCTAGAATCGAATGCGCTTCCCTCGTTGAACATCGTGATTGGGAATATTATATAGCTCCCGGTTGAAGCATCCGATAAGTGGGAATTAAGCCGTGCTTTAAATGCAACTGTTGGTATTTTGGCTTTGTCTGAAAAGAGAATATTTCTATATAAATTATAAATGAATCCAGTCCTGATCTACTATAATGTTCAACCAGTGTTTTTTTTACATGTAGCGAACAACTTTACAATTCACATATTCATGTATTTTAGTACAATGTATATATAAATATTTAACATGTTATTTTATAAAGACTAATTAAGCAATCTTGTAGCAAATTTACATTATAATTTATTATCATATGTCTAATTTGTCATAAGGGCTCTTTTGCCCTAGAATGAATCAAATTCATGAATAAATAACAAAACTATGCCAAATAAAGCAAATTTTAATTATTATTTCAGTAATAATTGACAATAAAAGGCATATCAGAATAATTCGACATGGTTTAGTCATGTATTTTGTCCAAGTATGAATCAAATATGTAAGTACATAAGAAAGTTGCAATTTGAAGAAATCTCAATTAATTGACCTTGACGGCCAAAGTAAATTTAGTGTCAAAGTCAAATCAGAATTATTCAATGTGCCGCTTTTGCCTCAGTTATGAATCAAATCTGTAAATAAATAGCAAAATTCTGACAATTTAAGAAAATTTCATTAAAAGGTCAAATAAAGGTAAAGGTCATTTTTGAATTATTCAACATACGGATTATGTCATATGGAATCGTTTGTTCAAGTATAAATCAAATCAATAAATAACTAATAAATTTATGGCCAAATGTAGCACAATTCATTAATTTGACATTAAGTGCCACTGTAAAATTAAGGTCAAGTTCAATTATTTTTTTTAATGTCTTGTTCCAAGGTAAGTTGTGCAAGGAAGACAATACATTCATTAGTTACGAATAATTTCACATAGTCCTTTGGTCCATCAACACAGTATATAATATTCTTTACGATCATGGTCAATTTTAAGCTTCAATTTCAATATAAATAACAAATATGCGAAATAAACATCAAAAGTATTGCAATTTTACACCTTTTACAAAATCTGTCGACAAATTCAAACATGTGCCTCGGCTTTCATGAAGGTGAGAACCAACATGTCTAGAATCGAAACAAGGTTCTCACTTTCAAATCGTGCATGTTATAAACGTGAAATATGATTTTTTAAACAGCTTAAATTATGTTGTGTTGTGGTATATAAGAGACTCAGTTAATTAACCACTTATACCTGCAATAACATCCACTGTTTTCCGCAATTCACCAACTCTGACAACAATGCTTTGCTCAAAAGTGTTTGCTTTTACTTTTAGACTCATCTCAAATTTATCCGTAGTTTTGTTCAATACGTCTATCGCTGTTCGAACCTCATCTTTCATTTTTGTCGTACTTTCCTCCCTTTCAATTCCTTCCAATTTCAGTTTTTCCATTTGGTATTCCATTCTAACTAGTTTTTCCAAAATCCTCTCCTCAAAGTCATATTTAGAGCAGTGTTGTTCCTCTGCTTTAACCGTTAAGAAAAGAGTGATGAAAAACGCGTAAGAAAACATTTTCATGACGATCACTCTAGTGATCAAGGATGCCGACCAGCAAGGAAATAAACCTAGCCTAGAGTTACAGAACTTTATAAAACTTTAACATATCAAATAAAAGGGTTGTTTCGAAAGCTCATACTTATATATACTGTGATTGTATTATGGTTTTGTTCAAAATTAAAAAAAAACTTCTAAAAGTTCTTATTATTTTACATTTATTACAAAGCGGTCTCGTCGATTACCGTATAAAATAAGCTACATGTATTTAATTCTCGAAAAAATGTAAAATAGATAAATACAGAATCCCTAAAGAAAGCCCAACACGGCAAAATTGAAAATGTTGCAGGCTCGGTTTGATTGAGCCTGTTCATGGACGGTACTGGAAAGTGCAAGTTACCGTCCACGCCCCCTAGCACCGGCTTAAGCAGAATTCAACATTTAAACATGAAAAAGTAAAATTTTGAATTTAGAAACATCCGCAGATGTGTTCATACGGCGGTTATCATGCTTTAAAGTAAATCGGAAATAAAATAGAAAAAATGTCGACGCACTGCAATCTTATTTTATACTAGTTAATTATACTAGTATAACTTATTATATACTAGTAAATTTATTAGGCAACACAAAATGACGCCTGGTATACAACAAAGCTTCCTTCTTCGGTTGTTTACAGTAAATTGCTCTGTAGCAACGGCCGAGCTAATGCATGTCCCCCGAATTTCAGTATCAACAATGGTACAGTGTTGATTTATTACATACATGGTAAAGCATTCTTGTAATTTTGATCACAAACTATATAATAAGGCAACATTGTACCTTCGTTGACACTAGCGACATGCACTGGCTAGGAAAGTGCGACAGGGCGATTTACCATATACCTCCAAAAGAGATAGCTGTGATGTTACAGGCGTGAATGCATAAGTTGATTGTCAGTTGTCACGTGTAATCCAATGGTATTAGATAAGCAGTGTTGGCATATATGTCTAATCTTGATATTGAAAAAGATAAAGCAATGATCATTTATTGATGTCTTTCTGTTCGGCCCGGAATATCCGATATGATGATGCACGTCGATTCTGCAATCATGTCTGCTTTTTTCTTGGCATATTTTACTATATTTTAAACATTTACCTCAATAAAACGTTTATTCATATACATTTATTGTATTTCATACGTTACTATTTTCTTACGGTAGGATATGACGTTACCATAGGCACTCAGTTTCATTTTGAAAAAGCGACTTGTGTTGCATCAATGCAGATGCCGTATGGCTTTAACACGTCATATCTACATAAACTATTGTTTTGCTATTTTATAAGTATGGAATAGTTATCAACGCATTAGCATTGCTCTTAAGGTACTTTTTATAAAAGACTGATATCTTAAGTTAAAATTTTTATTTGATTTAAGACAGGCACCTAGGAAGCATTTTCGTACTGGGAGTGGAGATGGGGCTAAATTGTATTTGGAGTCGATGAGGGTGGTCTAGGTTCGTCCCCCAGGGGGAAAATCTACATATTAAATGATGGCCTCTTGTGCATTTCTAGGTGCAAATTTAAGTTAAGTATAAATGAAGTACAAACTTCTGAATGTCCCCAGAAATTTTCAGACATGCACTATTCCTTATTGGAATTTTTACTTGAATGATTACTGTACAAGGAACATTTTCAGCCCTTTGAAATGCTTACCGGCTAATATCTTACATTCGGGCTTTTATTTCTTAGAAATTTTTAAATAAAATAACCATAATTAGGCACTGTATTGCTGACCATGAACTCTCGAATATCAAGTGTGTGACAATTTAGCGTGGATTTCCTTAGCCGTCAACTAATCGACTTTTGATCACTATTTCCGCTTGAATATGCACCCCCTTGTTACTGTCTTGCAAGATAATCTTACAATAACTTTTGAACAACCCCTGCCTGTTCTTATCAGAAGGTGTACTCTGTATACTGTTTCAATAAATAGTAAATAAATTATTTCTCAATGTTTTGTTCTTATCATTAATTACTTAAATTAATTAGATTAGATATTATTACTTATTATGTATTATCACTAATACAGTAAACGCCCAGACATTCCACATTCTATTTATGGGCAGTAGACAAACAACACCTGCTTCTTATTAACTAAAAATTAAATGCTATAACTAAAGAAGAGATCTTTTAGTAATAACACCGCTCGTCCTTTTAAGTATTTTATTGTCTTTGTGTTCGATAAGAGTTTTTGTCATGACCCTTTCGTCGGCACCGTCATTTGTTCTCCGTTACCTTTACGTACATTTCTCAGAAACTTTCCAATCCAAGTTAATCACACTTGCACTACGCCAAAGTCAGAAGGGCAGAAAATCATCATAAATTATGCCACTTTGTTGTTTAAGTTGTTTTTGACCCGGTTTTCGATTTTGTTAAGGAACATTTGTCAAAAGTATTTTCAAATTAATCTTTTAACAATAAATTATCACAAACATACTAGATTTCATGCAATCTATACCCATTAATTTCTTTTCTCTCTCTTGGCCTTCACAATACATTTATATCTTGTCCAATAGCTGCTGTTACCGGCTAGGAAGTTTTATGCGGTACATATTTTTGGTTGAGTTTTATGAAACACCAATACTGTCATATGGCTACTTTCAGGCTTTACTGGTAGATGAAGACTTTATGATCAGGTGCCCATCTGTGCATTATTTTGGGCACAAGCGGGCACCTGAGTAGAACCACCGACATTCCGTAAACTAGCTAATATAGCTTCTACACATGGAAAAATCAAAGAATCGAGATTCGAACCTACAGCGGTAAGGGACAAATGGTTTGAAGTCAACGACCTTAACCACTCGGCCACAGATGTCCCTTACATGTTTATCTAATAATAAAAAATAAGCCTTGACTTGTATCTCCCAACATTCACTTCAAGATTTCTTATAAAGTATTTTCATCCAAATTTGGTAAGTCATGCGTTACTTTCTTTAGAAGTCATTCATAGATCAGTAACTTCTTACGTTAATCAGGATTTTTATCTACAAAATTCATTTTATCAAGATTTACCCTTTTCCCGTTTGGAAGAAATAAAAAGTATGTTGGCAATATTTAGATAGAGAACAGAAAGTGTCCTGTTATCATGTTGATTGTTAACACATACATGTATATATTTCTTTATTGTACCGGTCAATTCATCACAATTTGTAACGTATTTGGATATAGATAATGCTACTGTACATTTTTGTTGTATTATTATGAATGGTGATCACTGATGAGATTAATTAGACAGTTTTAGAAACAGATTTTATGGCTGTTATCTGTTTTCGCCAAGTTTTAAAAATTACCGTTTTTTCTCAGTATGTTTGATTGCTAACTTTACGTTAGTAATTTTATGATTATTCTCTTGCAAATTACGGACATAAAATACGGAAAAAATGTTTTACAATTTTATTCTGGGTATCTGAATTATTACGCATACACATATTTTGATGATGCAAAATCATTTGTAATAAAGTGTAGGGGCAGAACCATGACTTGTATGTAACCATTTGTCCTTCATCTCTTCTCTATATATAATACAATCGCTTTAAACAAGTACCCCTCAGATCTGATTAAAACGTATTTAATACACAAATGTACACTTGTAAGAACAAGATCTTAATATTTTTATGCTACATATTTAATGAAATGGATACTACTGTAATTATGACATTTTGAATTTTTCAAGTTTTTTAATACACAACGGATATCCTACATAACTCAAAATGCACAAATCTTGCCGCTGCTAGGACGTTGGATCAATAGGGTGAAGGTTATAGTTCATAGTTATAATTACATTTCTTCGTGGAACGTTCATTTACAATAAACCGCAATAGCATCCACAACAAACGCACGCTCCATCCCAACATAAATTATAAAAAATCAACAATTACAAGCGCACGCAGTTAGCACACACATAAGTATATGATATACATGTATATGGGTGTTTTATAATTAAGATTGTGTGTGCTTTCAGGAAATATGGGATTGTTCATATGATAAACTTAAAAAAGATAACATTTGTCACGGTTAGACATTATAAACCAATATCTATCTTACGAATATTTTACACCCATTAACCTCCGTGGTTCCGAACAATATTGACCTGGCACTTCATTAACTTTCGTAAATGTCACTTAATATATCGATACATCTGCTAATTTCACTCGTGAATGAGGTGTGGTGTATTGGTATAGATGTCGGACTACCGATCTGAAAGTCTGTGGTTCGATTCCTTACCAACACCAAGTAGTGATTTTTTTATTTACTTGCAAGAATAACTTCTAAATCGTTTTACTACACCTGGATTTAGAATACCTTTTAATTAGTGGTGTTTTCATACAAAATTATATTTTTATTCATTACACTATCTTTTAACGATTTTCTTTGTGACATTATATGTAATCGTATATTCTTTAGCGCATACACACTATAAAGTACTACACTGATATTACACACAACAAAACGTTTGCGACAATTTTAAGAGAATGACAATTTCACATTAAAATAAAAAAGAAGAAGAAAAAGAAATCGTTGAAATAGGATTCGAACCTACCAGTTTACGTCTACAAGTGAAAACACTTTACCAACTGCTCTAACAGCGATTTTTCATATTCATCATTTTAACAATGTGATATTTATATTTATCGATTTACAAGTAGATCGTAAAGTTTACGGAATATACCTACTAAAAGGTCAAATGCAAGAGTGCCAGGTCAATGTTGATGGACAATCCCTGACCTCTAAGGTCAAGATTATTTATACCATCTATTTTACACAGTTTGCATTCAAATAACTAGGCCTCAATGACATTCGATTTTGATATTTACACTTGTATATTTTAATGTTATGTTTCAGTAATCTACTCACGGTTAAATTATCATTATAAACTTTTATATATCTTATGAATATTTGATACCCTTAAACCTCTGTGAAATGTTTCCGAATGTACCTAACCTCTAAGGTCAAGATTAGTTACACTATTTATTTGCACGAAAATATCCCGGCTTCAATGAAATGTTATTTTGATAATTAAACTGAGAATTACTCATTGTATATTTCACTGTTATGTTTAAATAGTCTGCTGTAAAATATATAATATAACCGATATCCTAATAGCTATATTGGACTGTTGAGAATTTCCGTGATAGACAAAAGTTTCGAAATAAAAGCGCCTTCCAGAAACGCCTTTTCCCGACGTTTCTTATCAAAGTTACACATTCAAATTCACAAGATCGCATTTCTTATATATATTAAAAAGGTTATTTAAAAGTTTTCTGTACATTACAGAATAAATTTTGACTTGCAACCTATACAGTTTGTGAAATAATATTGGATACATTTGGCGGCTTCAATTCTCCTTCATGGTTTCGTGAAAATATAATCTCGATATTAAATAATCGTTCAATTCACGGATGACTGTACACACAGTGTAGGAACGAAATCACTCACACAATTCACTGTATCATTTACTGCAAGCTTAAACAATATAGCATGATGTATCATAAACTGCGATCACAGGAAGAAATCAAAGCACAAAATGGAAGGCGTTGAATTTATTTGGGTCTCAGAATGTCAGAAAGGTGAAGGTTGTGAGATTATAAACAAATTTGTTTTTGTGTAGTGCCAGCAATGCTGTTTCCAGTGTTATAATTGTAGTAAATTGACTATCGGGCTAATTGCAACACTGATATTCAATCCAATGTTTATTTGGATTTAAAAAAAATGAGTTGCCTTAACTGGACTTTGAACTCCAAACGTCTCGCATCCTAGACGAGCGTGTAAACCCTGGACCACGGGGAAGTTATAAAAAACAGCCTGAAGCAAACCACATTATTCTTAATTTGGGTGTGTAATCCTTATTAATTCCGAATTAAATTGAAATTGATTATCGATCGCCGACTGCCTAAAGTCGTTCCTGTCCTAGAGTCAACATCTTTACTTTATTTTTCAGAAAGTCCAAATAACAAATGTTTATTTGGGCGATCACAATAATCCGAAGCTTTACGGAAAAAGCCGAGCAATTTTCATTGATGAAAATGATATTCATCCGCATAACAAAATTATTTGAATACATTACCGGTAATTTGCGAAATGTGAAAGAATCACACAATATTATAAATCTTCGACCAATCGAGAAATATTTTTTTCTTCCCTGACATGGTTTGAAAATTATTGCGCCTGTCATTTGACAATCCTTATGCAGTGATCTCCCCTTCTTTTTTCGGCGTTAGTGTACTTATAAAGGGAAGTAACCGCTTCGAGGAGTTCGTGACGGACAACTTGCAGAATTTGCGAACAAGCATATCAGGGTCTTAAATTTCGCTACCATTATTTGTTTGGTCTGACGACCCAAACAAATAAAAAACTGGAACAAGTAACAAGACATTACGAGTAGTTGTATAGGAAATGTAGAGAGTCAATTTCTGCTATTTTTTCAAAGATATTTCAAATTTCAAGATAATAATTTAAAATTGTTACTAATATCACTCTCAAGCTAGACTGCTGCATACACTTATTATAGCCGTTGACTAAGAACAAGCTGAACGCCAGTGCTCAATTTGACCAAGCCATGCATAAAGAGACTTCACTAAGGTTTATTTACATGACTGGAAAAAATATATTTTGAAGATAAATGTTCCATTTGTTGTAGGTCTGGACTAATAACTAGGATCATTTTCTCTCATCGTTTTTTAGTATAATAGTCTATATTGCAAAAAACGACCTAAAATGGAAAAATGTTGCAAGGTTTTCGCTCAAATCGGACAAAGAATAGTACAAAATACGATTTTCAGTTTATTCCGAGCAAAATTCTTACTAATCTTTTGTATATTTTTCTGTTTTAAGTGTCAAAGCTGATGTATGTCAGAAATTCAAATGTTATGTTTTCATGCCTTTGGACCTCAGTAGAGTTCCGTTTAGTATAGAAAAAACAGGCTTACTTCACGTTGACTCACTTATATAATCGTTTATATTCAGCAGTAGTTACGGCATTGAGATACGGGAGTCAAACCTTTACGGTATCAATTTTTCTTTAAAAGACAATACAAAAAGGATTTAAAAGCTTGTCACCGCTCCCACATAATTTTATGGACAATGTGTTAGCATTTCACATGTAACCGGTGACATAATCAGTACTTGTTTAGGGAAGAGTGACATGTTTAATGTAAGTAGTTCAGTCATGTTAATTATTTAATCAGATTATCAGACATATTTGATTTTGAGCACAGCACCTCACCAGTAATCAGAAAACGTCTGGTTCAAAAATAATGTTTAATGTTAGACTGATACTTGGACATGATACCAAAAGAACGCATATTGGATGAAGATATTTTACGAACCAGGTCGAATCATGTACCAAATATTTGCCATAAATGAATGACACCAAAATGCATAGCAGTATTGTACTTCAAACGTCGAACGTTGCGTCACTTCCACAATAAGACGAATCCTTTCATACACCATCAAAAATGTTTTTATATACACCCAGTTTATTGAATGATGCAAAGCATCTCTGTGCTATCTTCTAAGTTTTTATTTCTATTCTTATGTCTTAGTGTAAATAAAATAGATAAATGAAATAAATAAGCAATAAACATTACAATAATTTACACGTTTATTGAAAATCATATAACATGTTATCCTCGTTAACCCATTAAATTTGTACTCGTTACATATTCATTTCATTCATGATATATATAGCACCATGAATTTATACATGAATAAAGGTTTAGCATTAGTATAAATTTCTGTCACGTCAATGTATATAATTATAAAGGACTAAAATGTTTTAAGGTATTTTAAAACACGAACAACAAATAGAACAGATACAAAGATTTGTAAAATGAAAGCATTAACCCCTTACACTATTGTTAACAAAAAATATGTATAAGAACGGTTAATTCAATATTCAGTTAGAAGTAGTTGTCACTGCTGTGTTGATTTTGTAATTTTGTGTTCAGACAGGTTTACATGTATTTATATATGCAGAAGAATAGTCATTTATTTTATATACACAAACGAATATCTGAAAAGTATATGTTTATATGTTGTACACACACATTATCATAATTATTTAACACTTGCAATCAAAGTTTGATATTATGTATTTACATTGTACTTAACAAATAATTCATATTAATATTACTACTGTAGCAAAATAAAAACTGAAGGTTTATTTATACCAGGTTTTATTTATAAGATGCAGATAGCTTTTACAAGGAGTACATTTGATGGTATCAATTACCATGTATCAAAGTTCCAGAGAATGTGCTCCATCTGCTTGAATCATAATGAACCATATGTGTTGAGAAACTGACTAACACTTTAACCCCGACGGTCTGGCCAACAATCAAGACTTCTAACAAGGCAGCTGACTGACGTGCAGCATTGTTTTCATTACGGAGAACTACCGGCTGAGTTGTTTGATCGTCCACTGTGATATCGATGTAAAGGCTTTGGCGGCTACTAACACAGAATATAACAGTAAATAAGTACGTTCCATTTACAGGAACAGTAAATTTACCAGTGCTAGAATCGAATGCGCTACCCTCGTTGAACATCGTGATTGGGAAAACTATATAGTCTCCTCTTGAAGCCGCCAATAAGTGGGAATTAAGCCGTGCTTTAAATGCAACTGTTGGTACTTTGGATTTGTCTGAAAAGAGAATATTTCTATATAAATTATAAATGAATCCAGTCCTGATCTACTATAATGTTCAACCAGTTTTCCTTGACATGTAGCGAACAACTTTACAATTCACATATTCATGTATTTTAGTACAATGTATATAAACATTTAACATGTTATTTTATAAAGACCAATTAAGCAATCTTGTAGCAAATTTACATTATAATTTATTATCATATGTCTATTTTGTCATAAGGGCTCTTTTGCCCTAGAATGAATCAAATTCATGAATAAAGAACAAAACTATGCCAAATAAAGCAAATTTTAATTATTATTTCAGTAATAATTGACAATAAAAGGCATATCAGAATAATTCGACATGGTTTAGTCATGTATTTTGTCCAAGTATGAATCAAATATGCAAGTACATAAGAAAGTAATTGCAATTTGAAGAAATCTCAATTAATTGACCTTGACGGCCAAAGTAAATTCAGTGTCAAAGTCAAATCAGAATTATTTAATGTGCCGCTTTTGCCTCAAGTATGAATCAAATCTGTAAATAAATAGCAAAGTTCTGACAATTTAAGAAAATTTCATTAAAAGGTCAAATAAAGGTAAAGGTCATTTTTGAATTATTCAACATACGGATTATGTCATATGGAATCGTTTGTTCAAGTATAAATCAAATCAATAAATAACTAATAAATTTATGGCAAAATGTAGCACAATTCATTAATTTGACATTAAGTGCCACTGTAAAATTAAGGTCAAGTTCAATTAATTTTTTTAATGTCTTGTTCCAAGGTAAGTTGTGCAAGGAAGACAATACATTCATTAGTTACGATAATAATTTCACATAGTCCTTTGGTCCATCAACACAGTATATAATATTCTTTTACGATCATGGTCAATTTTAAGCTTCAATTTCAATATAAATAACAAATATGCGAAATAAACATCAAAAGTATTGCAATTTTACACCTTTTACAAAATCTGTCGACAAATTCAAACATGTGCCTCGGCTTTCATGAAGGTGAGAACCAACATGTCTAGAATCGAAACAAGGTTCTCACTTTCAAATCGTGCATGTTATAAACGTGAAATATGATTTTTTAAACAGCTTAAATTATGTTGTGTTGTGGTATATAAGAGACTCAGTTAATTAACCACTTATACCTGCAATAACATCCACTGTTTTTCGCAATTCACCAACTCTGACAACAATGCTTTGCTCAAAAGAGTTTGCTTTTACTTTTAGACTCATCTCAAATTTATCCAAAGTTTTGTTCAATACGTCTAACACTGTTAGAACCTCATCTTTCATTTTTGTCGTACTTTCCTCCCTTTCAATTCCTTCCAATTTCAGTTTTTCCATTTGGTATTCCATTCTAACTAGTTTTTCCAAAATCCTCTCCTCAAAGTCATATTTAGAGCAGTGTTGTTCCTCTGCTTTAACCGTTAAAGAGAGTGATTAAAAACGCGTAAGAAAACATTTTCATGACGATCACTCTAATGATCCAGGATGCCGACCAGCAAGGAAATAAACCTAGCCTAGAGTTACAGAACTTTATAAAACTTTAACATATCAAATAAAAGGGTTGTTTCGAAAGCTCATACTTATATATACTGTGATTGTATTATGGTTTTGTTTATTATTATTATTTTACATTTATTACAAAGCGGTATCGTCGATTACTGTATAAAATAAGCTACATGTATTTAATTCTCGAAAAAATGTAAAAGTCATGCTTTAAAGTAAATCGAAAATAAAATAGAAAAAATGTCGACGCACTGCAATCTTATTTTATACTAGTAAGTTATACTAGTACGAGTATAACTTATTATATACTAGTAAATGTATTTAGTGCTCTCCAATTTTTTTAAGCCAATCACCGACGAGGATTTTTCAAATTTTCAGGTTTCAAATCTTAATAGAACAGATTTTATATAAACTGGACGTTTTATATTATAAAACGCAAGTGGGCGGAGCACTAAGCCGGTTAGAGTGCATATTGGATGTTCTTCGTAAATAAGAAAGCTACAGTCGCTTCGCAAGCACCGCTCCTTTTTAGCTTTCTTATTTACGAAGAACACCCAATATGCACTCTAACCTATACTAGGCAACACAAAATGACGCCTGGTATACAACAAAGCTTCCTTCTTCGGTTGTTTATAGTAAATCGCTCTGTAGCAACGGCCGAGCTAATGCATGTCGCCGAATTTCAGTGTCAACATTGGTACAGTGTTGACTTATTATATACATGGTAAAGCATTCTTATGTAATGAGGCAACATTGTACCTTCGTTGGCACTAGCTCGGAAAGAGCGACAGGGCGATTTACCGTATACCTACAAAAGAGATAGCTTTGCTGTAACAGGCGTGAATGCACGAGTCGATTATCAGTTCTCACGTGTATTCCAATGGAATCAGCAGTGTTGACAATATATATCTTGATATTGAAAAAGTAAAAGCAATGATCATTTCTTGATAATGGCTGTCATGTCCTTTAGTTTGGCCCGTTAGATCCGACACGAGGGTACCCGTCGATTCTGCCAACATGTCAGATTTTTTTTTCTTGGCATATTCTACTATATTTTAAACATTTTACCTCAATAAAACGTTTATTCATATACATTTATTGTATTTCATACGTTACTTTTTTTCTTACGGTTAATTCATAACGGCGAAATGACGTTATCCTAGACACTCATTCTAAAGACGCGACTGCATATGTCGTATGACTTTACAACGTCATATTTACATAAACTGTTGTTTTGTTTTTGCTATTTTATGAGTATGAAATACTTATCAACGCATCAGCATTGCCCTTAAGGTACTTCTTATAAAAAGACTGACATCTTAAGTTAAATTTCTATTTAATTGAAGGCAGGCTCCTAGGTAGCATTTTCGTTCTGGGAGTGGAGATGGGGCTAAATTCTATTTGGAGTGGAGGAGGATGGTCTGGTGGTCGTGCCCCCAGGACAAAAATCTACATATCAAATGGTGGCCTCTGGGGAATTCCCAGGTGAAGATTTTAGTAAAGTATAAATTAAGTACAACCTTCTAAATTTACCCCTTGCACTATTTCGTATGGGATTTTCACTAGACATTGATAAAATGATTACTGTACAAGGAACATTTCTTCAGCCGTTTGAAATTCTTATCGGCTTATATCTTACATTCATGCTTTTATTTCATATTAATATTTTAAAAATAAACCATATTTAGACACTTAATTACTGAGCATGAACTCTCTAATATACAGTGTGTGAGAATTCAGCGTGTGACAAATATTATGGATTGCCTTAGCCGTCAACTAAATGACTTTTGATCACTATTTCCACTGGGGTAATCACCCCCTTGTTACTGCCTTGCAATATAATCTTACCATAACTTTTGAACAACCCTTGCTTGTTCTTATCAGAGGGTGTTTCTCTATATACTGTTTTCAACCTATTAGTCAATTAATTATTTCACAATGTTTTGTTCTTATCATTAATTACTTAAATTAATTAGATAAGATATTATTACTAATTATCATATAATGTATTATCACTAACACAGTAAACGCCCGGACATTCCATTAAAGGTCAGTTGACAAACAACACCTGCTTCTTTTTTAACAAAAAAAAAATGCTGACACTAAAGAAGAGATTTATAGTTATTACACCGCTCGACGTTTTGGATATTTTATTGTCTTTGAAAAACAAGTAGAGTTTTTGTCATGACCCTCTCGTCGGCGCCGTCATAAGTTCACCTTTTTGTTAAGGTATAGTTCCTCAGAAACTTTCAAATCCACTTCTTGATACACTTGCACTATAAAAAAATATTTGATACCAAAGTCAGAAGGGCAGATAATCATCATAAATTAGGCCACTTTTTTACTACGGTGTTTTCGACCCGGTTTACATTTTTGTGAAGGTTCATTTCTGAAATGCTTTCACAGATATTCCTTTCAAACTAAGAATGCTTTGCCCACTTTCAAAATATGGAAATGAGAAAGGATCAAATTAGAACGGTAACTCAATTTTTTGCCTTAAAATGTTTCTGTTATCATATTCTGAAATATTCAAAGTTAAAAAAAAATATATTGGACAGTTTTAATTTTGTCTATGTATCTAGTTCAATATGATAACTCCCGAAAACTTCATGAATACAAAATAAATAAATAAATAAATGAATAAATAAATAAATTTGTAAATAAATAAATAATCATAATGATAATCATGCAAGAAAAGTTTGCAAAATATATATACATGTAATCATATTAACATATTTATTACAAACTGATCATAAAAAATAAAAGGAAAAATGTTGTTCCAATTATGTAAGAAAAGTGACATAAAATAATTATTTATGCGTACAAATTATCAAAATAGAATTAGAAATAACATGTTAAAATACCAAACAACATAAAAGACGTACTGGCGGATTCTCACTTTCAATAAACAGGTACATTGCATACCTACTCCGGGAATAGCTGCCCGTGAAGTAAGAGAACATTAAAAAAGTATATACTTGTTATTATATAAAATAAATTCACTTGATTTTTGTCAGTTTTACACCATTTTTAGCCAATATATTCATCTTTCTTAAATATTAATTGCAACAATCGATTGCAGGATTATTCCATATACAATAAAAACTCCCTAAATCGAAAATGCTCTGGACTATCATAAATTTCCGGTTTAGAAAGGATTTCGTATTGCGGATTTTTTTCTCTTTTGGCAATGAAATTTACTATACATTAGGTATTATTTATATAGCATGAAAGTGTAGTAAAACCATATCTTTTTGGATAATAAACATTATGCTTTTATTTTTTTTGATTATTTTTCATTGAACTGAGTATTTTCATTTCCAGCTGGTCTATCCGCAACAAGCTGTTGTACGTACTACCTGTTCACGGGTGTGAGTGTAGCCGATTAAAACGAAAATACAGTGTAGGATAACCGATATTTTTTGTACTTTCGATTTGAATGATTTGAGACTTGTTTGTTTATTATGATAACTGGGAAATTAAACTCTTACGACATGAGAATAGACTTTTATTATAACATTTCATATATCTGTCATGCAAGTAAGATATTTTCGTTTACCATACAAATGCGAAAGTAGACGTATTTTCGGAAAACAGATATCAAGAGATACGTCGGAAATTCCCCTGATATATCAAATGGAAATTCCAAATTACGTAACCGTACATAATCAGAAAGGGTACATTTTTTGCAGGATTATAAGTAAGTAACTGTTTAGTTTAAATTTTTATTCACTTATGACATAGTCCTGTGAACGCTGAAGATAACCCCGTAGGGAAAGTCCACCAATAATCGTGCCAGGAATCTGACACGCTCATATTTATTCATCGAACATGCCATGAAGTAAAGTGAAGCATACCTTGATAAAACTATATATAATCTGTTGAAAAGCCAAGGATGGACAAATAAAAATCTTATTACGAACATAAACTACCTAATAGTTTCCGACGGGTAAAAATTTCGGCACTTGGCCGCCATATTGCCAAAATGTTTGACCACGTGATTACGAGATTGACCTTTATGAACCCTTGTGCCTCCAATATTTTTATAAATAACTTTTTTTTTTTAAAGATATTGAAAAAGGTGATTTACTGACTTTTATATTCAATAAAATCATATTTAAGCTCTTAAAAATTATGAAAATAAATAAAAACATTATCTTGAATAAAAACATCGAATCATGTCAACAAATATTCTAAATATAGTACACTACTCTATTCAAATCTGTTCCCGCGAATGACGTCATACGAGGTCTCGCGTGACACCTGAATGTAATGGCGTAAATTGATGTTTTATAGTTAAATAGGCAATTTTAATGACGGTATTAATATTTTGATACTTTAATTGGTATAGAACGATATTAAAATAAGTGTTTTATCGTAAAATGCACAAGAATTGATTGGGTCAAGTGTATTTGCAAGTGAAAAACAAGAATAAATCAACTTATGTTATTCTGGTTAGGTTTCGTAACGTGTCTAATCCAAAACTTTAATGCCGCATCAGATGAAAAACAAAAATGTTAAATAGCGGCTTATAAAGTTTTGATGAACATTAACATATACTCAGCAGGCAGAGACACACTTTCACTTTCAATTTACATTCATTTTTAGGGGGAAGGGGGGGGGGGGTGTTGTTACGACGCAACAATACAGTGAAGGTTGTATGTCGAATTCCAGCTTTACTGGTGAAGGGAGCAATTCCAATATGACATTCAAATCACACGAGATCTTAAATCTGATACTTGTGTTTGCTATTGTTGTTATTATAAAAAAATTTATAACAGAGTGTTATATAGAAAAACCTTTTTTCCCAAACCCCAATTACTTTAAATGGCCTAGACTGTGAAAAAGATAGGATATATCGTTTTGCTTATGTCGGTCTGTCTTCTGGTCTGTCTGTCGGTAGACCACATGATTTCCGCTGATTATCTTAGAAACTACTTATCACGAAGTCTTGATATTCCACACCCAGATTTTGGGGTCACTTGGTGAGAGGTCAAGGTCACAGTGGCCTCGAACATTAGAATAGTTTCCGCTCATTATCATGTAAACTTTCACAAAGTCTTAATATTTCATATGTTGATTGGTCATATATAGTAAATGACCCATGTTGATTTTGGGGTCAGTAATTCAAAGGCCAAGGTCACAGATGCCAATGTCAGAATAGCTTCCGCTTGAAAATTAGTTATCATAAGTTATTCATATTATTCATATTGATTGTGATTGGTCTTATGTAGTAGATGACCCCTTTTGATTTTGGGGTCAGCCGGGTCACTAGTTCAAAGGTCATGGTCACAGGTGCATTAAATGTCAGAATGGTTTCCGATCGTTATCGTGAAAACTAATTATAACAAAGTCTTCACATTTCACATATTGATTGGTCATACTAGGAAGAAGATGAACTTTATTGATTTTGGTGTCACTATTACAAAGGTCAAGATCACTGGGACCTTTAAATGTCAGAATGGTTTCTGCTCATTGTCTTGAAAACTATTTATCACAAAGTTTTCATATCTCACGTATTGATTGGTCATATGTAGTTAATGACCCCTATATATTTTGAAGTCTCTAGTTTAAAGGTCAAAGGGACTAAATATATTAATTAAATCGAAGGTCAAGCTATTGCTCATTCAAAATGCTCGAACCCGTTGCTTTTTACAGTCATGAAACTTAACGTTGGTCATTATATTTTTATTTCTTTATTGATTGTCTTCATACGTGGATACAGCAACTCTTAGGAAAATACCTTTACGTACACAAGACTGAACTTGACCTTGACTCATTAATGAAGTTCTTGACTCATTAAAGACTTTGACCTTCAAGGTCAAGTGCTTGAATTTTGCTTGATTTTCACTATAATTTCATAACTTTGTTATTTATAAATGGATTGTCTTCATATTTGACTAAACAATCTTTTGGGCAAGTCCTTAAAATAAATCAGATTGATTATTATCTTCACGCATCAACACGCATCAATGGCTTTGACCTTGAAAGTCAAAATAAATAATTTTGCTTGATTTTTGTTATAATTGGCTTTAACTTTGTAAGTAATGAATTGATTTATTCAGACTTATGCATAACAATCCTTATGACAAGACATTGAAGAAGGTTAAATTGAACTTGAACTTAATTTGACTTTGACACTAAATGTCAAATTATTGAAATTAGCTACAATTGGGCATAACATTGTTATTTATTTATGTATTTAATATATACCGTGACTTTATGTTGATTTTTTAAATATGATTTTAACCTTAATTTAAATGTCCTTAAATTGTATAGCTGTATTGAAATATTTACAGATTTGATTCATACTTGAAGAAACAAGCACATATGACAAAACCACAATGTTGAATTATTCTGATATTATGTCCTTGAACTTTAATTGGCATTGACTGTCAGAGTCAAATTATTGAAATTTGCTGACAATTTTCCTTTTTTTATTTAGTCATTGATTTTGATACATCTTGGACAAAAGAGCACTTATGAAACAATTGACATCATAATTAATTCAGTTGCAACCTTGACCAATGATCGTCAAGGTCAAATATAAGATAAAAAATTTTATTTGATACAAAAATTATTTTTGAAGTAGTACACTTAACTTTAATATTCTTTCTCTGATGTGTTTAATTTTTGAAATACGAAAAAGTCGAGCGTGGTCCCCGCTAGGCTGTGACTGTTGTTAAGGACAAGGCATAGAGCTTAGATATTTGGTGTGTTGCATAGTCTAGTTAACTTCTACTTACAAAATTATTTTTATAAAACCGCAACAACTATGTTTTTACAGATTACAGTCGCAGTTGCATATATTCAGCATGGCAAGTAGGCAAAGTAAAGAAGATGTTACTGACTGGCGGAAAAATTCAATGAGACATAACCATTCTTTTCAAAGGGAACAAACTATACCGACAGAGAAGAATGTAAGAGGAGAGAAGAATGAACAGCCGTACAATAGGTCCGGAAAAGACACAAATGGCAGTGAAAGAGAAGATCAGCGAGGGAGAAGTAGTACAAAATCAACTCAAAGACATGATGAGGCTTTTCACGGTAGACAAAATGTGCCTAAGAAACACCAGGCTAAGAGAACAATCCTGTATGTTGTAACAGGTGACAAAGTAACTGAGAACAGAAACTTAAAAAGCTTTTTATTGTCTAGAATGGGCAACCCGAGAGAACTTGACTTTTTAGTGACAAAGGTCACAAATATCAAAAAAGATGGTAGAATAAAAAACGTTATCTACCTGGAGTTTGAAAGTTTTAACAAAGCTTCTCTTGGAAAACATTTACTCCATAAAAGTAATAGAAACGTACCAAATAAGCTTATTTGCTCCTTGGATAGGACAGAAGCGGAAGGAGAAGTTGTTGACACTGCTAAACAAAGACAGGAACAAATCGACAAAGCACACAAGGAAATTGTTGAACGAGCTGAATCTTTCATCGAGAGGCATGATGCGAAAATAAATGAAATTCGTGACAAACTCACTGACATTGATGCACAGCTTAGAAATAAAAGCGGGGTTTCCCTTCCCGAGTTCGATAAACTAAGCAATGAAAAGTCTGCTTTTGAAGATAAGTTGGAAGAGTTTGCAAGACAGAGAAAAGAGTTTAATAGATACATGCAATGTATGAAAGACAAGATGCAATCTCTCTTAAATTGTGACAAATTTGAGAAAGAATTGCAAGAGGTGAGAACAGCTTTTGGTGTTGAGTGTAGACGGTTTTCAACATCTTTACCTATGTACGCAAGACGTGAAGACATCCTTAATACGATCAAGGAAAACCAGGTGTGTGTGATACTCGGTGAGACTGGTTCAGGCAAGTCGACTCAGATGGTCCAGTATTTATATCAATCTGGGTTTGCAGGTAAATATAACCATATGAACCATATTACTAACGATCATCAATATTATTGGTATAATTATATATACGTATAAATTCAAATACAACACTTCATAAGTATTAAGTTTTTTTAATGATGAACAGCAGCAAGAGAAGTATATGGACATAATGTAATTTTCTTTGCGTCACGAAATGTGAATATTATGTTTGGTGACAAAGATTAAAAACGTTGAAGCTGTTCTCAATGAGTTAAGCACATTGTCTTATCTTCACATGCACGTTTTTCATTATTATAATTATGTTATAGAAAATATTGTACTTACCAGAACCAGTTTTGTACTTTTTTTATCTCTTTAGCAAAAGGACTCATTGCCTGTACCCAACCTAGAAAAATAGCTGCAGTCAGTCTTGCGACACATGTTTCTGCAGAACTAGCATCGAGAGTTGGTCAGATTGTTGGTTATAAAGTTGGAATGCAAAAGAAATTGACAACGATAACAAAGGTTATGTATATGACTGATCACATACTTCTAAATGAATGCTTAGCTGATAGGGTTTTAAAACAGTACTCGTGTATCTTAATCGATGAAGCGCACGAACGGAGTATTTACACTGATTTGCTTCTTGGTATGCTAAAGCAAGCTTTAAAGGAAAGACCAGAACTTAAAGTTATCATAACATCCGCTACGATAGAGCCAGATATATTTGTAAAATACTTTGGTGGAAAAGATCTTTGTCCTGTCCTAAAAGTCTCTGGGAGAGCATTTCCGGTAGATGTATATTGGGAATATGACTACTTTTCAGAAAGAGCCTTTCCGGAAGATTATGAATCAAAAGCTCTAAACAAGGCGATTGAAATTCATAATTCAACAGCTATAGATGCAGGAGATATTCTTGTTTTTCTTACTGCTGTAGCTGAAATAGAAAGATGTGCAGAGAAATTATCTGAACGAGGAGATACTAATGTTCATTGCCTGCAACTTCATGGTAGACTTAAACCAGAAGAGCAACAACTTGTCTTTGAAAAAACACCTAGAGGAAAGCGGAAGATTGTTTTTGCTACTAACAGTGCTGAAACATCTATTACAATTCCAGGCATAAAGTTTGTGGTGGATACAGGAGTTGTCAAGGAGATGAGATTTAACCCAAAGAAAAACATGAATTCGTTGAATGTCGTATCAGTCAGTAAAAGCTCAGCAAATCAACGTAAAGGACGTGCTGGGAGAACAACATCTGGCATTTGTTATAGATTGTACTCAGAAGAAGAGTACAGTAATATGGAAACAACATCATGTCCTGAAATACTTAGAATACAAGTGTCACAGGCTTTACTTAAATTGTTAGAACTAGGGGTAGATCCAATGAAATTTGACTACGTCCAATCACCGTCACACGAAACAATGAAATCAGCCATGGACGAGTTGATGAGTATCGGAGCAACAAATAAAGCAGGCATAACAGAGCTTGGTAAATGGATTGCAAAATTGCCACTTGAGCCAAAACTCGGCTTACTTATAAAGAAAGGAATTGAATCTGATATTGTAAATGAAGCTCTCGTAGTTGCTTCTTGTTGTAATCAAAGTGGAATATTTTACCGTGTCGGAACACTGGAGGAGAAACGAGCAGCCGATTTAAAGAAGATGAAATTTTGTCATAAAGGAGGAGACTTACTTACAATGCTGAATGTGTTTAGAGAATGGAACAAAATACCAGAAAAAGGGAAAGGCAGTTGGTGCGACAGCAACAGTATAAATGGAAAGGCAATAAAAGGGGTTCGAGATACGACAAACGAAATTTCATCAATACTTAAAAAAGATTTAGGTATTAAGATTAAGTATGAATTTAAGCAGCCTGAAAAAGTAGATCCACAAATACAACGTTTAATATTTGACATTATGGTCGCAAATATTGGCTATTTCTTGGGACATGAAGGCGCTGGATATCTTATTGTAAACCGAAACCAGCGCGTGATGCTGCATCCTTCGTGCGCTATTTTAGCTTTAGGTCTCCAACCAAGCTGGGTGGTATTTAACAAAGTTCTGAAAACCTCTGAAGATTTTATGACAGAAGTAACACCAGTGTCAGACAAGGCTATAACAGACGCTATAGAAAGTCGAATTCTTAATGTCAATTTAACTGCTCTTGAAAGTCTGAGGTTGAAGCTAGCACTGAAATTACCTGTTGGAAAACATGTTAAATGGAAGTTTGTTGGTCCACTCCATAAAAACCGCAGAAAGGTTGAAGAAGATATTTCAAAAGAATGTGATGAATCTTTAGTCGTTGTTGAAGCAAATAACAGACGGGGAGATGTCAGTTTATTTTGTTTGTCACAATATGTTGAAAAGGCATCGGCACTGCTGAGGTCTGTCATTGAACCAATGCCAGAACTTTTACGATATGAGTCAAGGGAAGAGCATATTGGAGATGAAAGAAGTGGTTTTAGAGCCGTTTTGAGGGAGGGAGGACGTGTTGTAGAAGTGCTCATGCCAAATGAATACCGATCCCTCAAAATAATTCTAAAGGAGTGCAATTTTAGAACTAAAATTGATGAAGGTAGCATTAGAAAACTGTTAATGCCTTACGGACCAATTGAACAGATTTGGAGACAAACTGGAAACAAACAGGGCAATAATCAGTTTTGGGGAAAAGTGACATTCACTCACCAAAATGATGCTGTTGCTGCATTTCAACATGTTAATAATGACAGAAATGCCAAAATAAAGCTAGAACCAAATACATTTCAGAATACACTTGCTCAGCAAGGTTTTACAATGAAACTGACGTGGTGCCGTCGGCCCTCCAAAGGACACTGCTTCGTCACAACAAATCGGCCTGAAGATCGCCCGATTCTTTTAATGTCGTCGCCAAAGGTCAACGGTGTCCCTGTTAGTATTTCTTTAAGCAAACAACAGTCAGATCTGTTTATAAAATATTTGCCTGCAGATGTCACTGATGAAAGTGTCAAAACAGCTCTAGGAGAAGTACTAGGCATATCCACCAACGCTTGCCAAGACCGGTTTCGTGTTGTTATCCCACGTACGAATGTAATTTGGAATGCAAATGAAAGGACTAGGCAACAAGATGAATTGTATAGAGTTGTATCAAAGTTTGCAGACAGGGAATCTTTTCGGTTACATGTAAGGGAATATAGGCAACAAGCAGCTATTTGTGTAGCTTTCGTAACTTTTTCAGACCCACAATTATGCAATGATACTGCAATGAAATTGATTCAAAGTCAGGAAAAATGCGAGGGAAAAAAGATACAGGTCAGTTTGGAATGCAAAGCATCTTTGCACATCAAGAAGGGACTTTATGAACTTGTAAAAGACGATTTTCAAGGATTAATTGATGAGCATACGCATGCACATTCAAGTACGGTCTTAGACCTTAAAACATTGAAGTCGGGCCATTTTTCACTCGAAATAAGAGCTGATTCTCCATTAGAGCTTGCACAAGCTAAACTTAAGTTCCAAAATGTAATTGGTGGAGATACACTTTGTTGGGAAAGCACAAAAAACATTAAAGTAATGTTCACTAAAAATGGAAAGCAAAGGGCACAAGAGATTGAAAAAGAAACGAAGGCCATGATAATAGTTGATGAGAGAGACATGACAGTTACAATACAAGGTCTGATTTCAAATAGAAGGAGGGCTACTTCATTTATTGAAGAATATATGAAAATTCACTCTGGTACTGAAGAAACGGTAATACGTCTAAAAGGGGAAGACAATCCACCTGGTTTGATGAAAGTTTTATTAATGAAATATGGGATAACCTTTGATGACTTCAAAAAGGAAACCGATGTGTCAGGGGTAGAACTTAACTTGAGACTTCATGAAATCGCTATATCTGGGAGAAGTGAAGCCATTGGAAAAGCTCTTCAGCTCGTGAATAGCTTAAAAGAAGAATTGATAAAAAAGGAAGAGGGAAGAAAACACATAAATGACTTACCAGACTGTCCTATATGTTTATGTCCCGTTAAAGAATCTGACATTTGTAGTCTTGAGTATTGCGGTCATGCATACTGTAAAGTATGTTTGAAGTCATACATACGTCATGCTGTTACTGGTCGACAGCTTCCTGTGTCTTGCGCTGCTGAGAATTGCAACAAGCTACTCGTGATTAGAGATATTAATACACAAGTCAAAATGGGATCCATCAAGAGAAAAGATCTTCTAGATTCAGCTTTGTCATGCTTTGTTAATACACGAAGTAAGGATTTTCGTTTTTGTATAACACCGGACTGTGGTATGGTGTACAGAGTTACTAAAAATGGAAAGTTATTCTTTTGTCCGACATGTCGTATAAAGATTTGTACCACTTGTCATATTCCATATCACGAGGGTCTGACATGTTCAATGTATAACGTCGCCAGAAAAGAGGGAGACTCTATGCTCGAATGGATGAAAGAGGATCCTTCAAATAGAAAAGTATGCCCAAAATGCAACTATGGAATCGAAAAAACGGGCGGATGCAACCATATGCAATGTTCAATGTGTAGAGCAAACATCTGTTGGTCGTGTATGACATTCTTTTCAGAAGTAGGTGATTACATGAAGCATGTAGATTCTGTCCATGGTAACTTTGTATAAAATAAATCATGCACAGTCAGTCGGATGTTTCCGGAAGAAGGTATGAATACAAAAATTTTCCTTTAGGCTATTCAAAACAATTTGTTGTTCATATGGGATTAGAATATGGTTTGCTAGACTAAATGTATGTTAGTTTTTTCCATATTGATCGGAAGAGCCAAAGTATGAGATTTTTTGACTCCCATAACCTCATATGGTTACACATATTTGAATTATATGTAATATCTATATAACTTGTTTATCATTATTATTGTTTATTTATTCAGATGAACTTTACATATTATACATTATTACTTTTCACGCAACTTGTTTTCTGTCAAATAGTTATTTAGAAATTGAAATATATGCCCCTACTCTAGGGTATTTAAACAAGAATCATGACACTACATAATTATATGTTAGTCAGCATGTGCCCTTGACTATGTAAAAACCGTTTTAAAATGTGCCTCTAAAAGTGCTAAAGCTAGAGTCAACAAACTTGATAAGACTGTTAATCTGCAACTGAAAATGTACACCCGTGGTTTTATTTTTTTATATAAAAGTTTTGTTCGAGTTATTGCAATTTTCAACTTGTGTGCCGTGCGTAGCTCAATAAGTATTTGACAGAGAGTCAAGAAACTTAACAAGAATGTTTGCCTGCAATTATACTCGTAGTTGTACATCCAGGGTTTTGCATGTTTTTTTTATGTATTTTAAGCATACTTGAGTTTTTAAAATTTAGATTTGAAATTCGTGCATCTCAATATGTGGATATATCAAGATGTCAACATTGGAAAGTTTAATGTCTTTTTTTATGCCCCAACCACTTAGGGGTAGGGGAGTCGAGTAGAATGTCCTTAGTCCGTATGTAATACTGTCCTACTGTACTGTCAGAAGACTGATAACACAGTGGAATGTTAGAAAATGCATGTCCTATGGACATATTTCTAATTAGTTTTTGACAAGATTAGTTAGTTTTTGACATGATTTAGCATATTTGACAAATAATTGATTTATCATGTAAACATTATATGGACATATTTCTAGTTAGTTTTTGAAATGATTACTTTTTTGAAACGATTAATTTTTTTTTTGACATGATTTAGCATAATTATTTGACAAATAATTGATTTAAATCATGTAAACATTCTATGGACATATTTCTAGTTTGTTTTTGAAATGATTACTTAGTTTTTGACAAGATTAGTTAATTTCTGACATGATTTAGCATAATTGACAAATAACTGATTTAAATCATATAAACATTGTTTTGTGTACTTGGAAAAACACAAAATGCATTAGTCTGTGGTTTTCTCACAGTCATAGTGAACATCAAAAATATATTCTATGATTCAAGGGTAGGTTGTAAATTTTATTTATCTATTGAGCGCTGTAACCCACATACATTGTTATAAGTTTTCAATTATATCGCTTATAGACAGAAATGTAGCCTTGCGGTGTAATATATCTCGATACATTTGTTTATGTATCAAACTTCCTTTAATGAAATATGCACATTGTATTAAAAGCATGTATGTTTGGCTATTTATGATAATGGTAATCTTGATTATTATAAAACTTTTAAAACTTTATTACATTTTAATAATTTTAATATGTAGTTGATGTACATTTGGTAATCACGTTGGAATTTAACAATATAGTTTACGACATTGCCTTTGCTATTTTCATGACATGTTGCGTGATACTGTAGAAAGATTACTGTTTTGTTTCCTTGTACAATATTTATACACGCAAGTGTGTATCCCGCAGCTCATTTTGTTGCTTATTTGATTTTTATGCTCCTCGAAGGGAGATCATATAGTCGCCGCCTTGTCCGCCCATCCATCAAATTCTCGTTGTAACGGGAATAACTTTAAAAGGTTTGAAGGATTTTGAATTAGACTACACACTGTGATGAAGACCAGTGATATAAATAACCTTCCTTATGTTAATAATACTTGCTTAACCGGAGTGTTATTTCCAAACTATGAATAATAATTTATTGAAACTTCACATAGTTTTCATATTTAGTAGAAACATAAATTAGGTGGTCCTCTAACTTTTGGTTGAATAAGGAGACACTAAGGTAAGGTCACCAGTGCTAAAATAGAGTTTTATACTTTTTATACTACCTATTTTAATAGACCGAAGTTTTTCCTTTTTGGTAGGTAAAAGTCTTGGATGGTCTTATAAATTTTGGTGGAGAAAGTGGTCACATCCGTCATGGTCAAGGTTACGAGATTGATTAATTAAAATGCAGCCTTTATTTATTGACTGGTGTATTTCATAATTGATAGGTATATACATTGTATCTAGGTTGTCATCTTACTTAAGTTTATTAGGGGTCAAGGTCACTTGCGCTAAAATTAGATTTTTACACTTATTGCTTTATTTATAAACTGATGTCTATTGAAATACATTGACAATTGTGCAGTTTCGGGGTGCATACATCGCTTTGTAAAAGTGATATTCTTGTTTGTCCTGTATTTATCAATTGAATTTATGCTTATATGTGAATAAGAAGTTACCAAGTGATAGAAATGTGGTAAAGATAACTTATTGTTTTAAAAGAGCAACACCAATTCTAGATGTTCAGAATTTTGAAAAAAACTCCGGTTTTTGTAAAATGAAGAAAAAAAAAGAAAAAAGAAAAGAAAATCATCAAAATTTAATAGATATGTAGTAAGATTGTTTCAATATGTTTTTAAAGGCCCGTTATGCCTCAGAAATGCCTTCATTCTTATTTCTTAAAATATTTCATTTTTTACAGATTCCCAAATATACTCATTTGCCACAAAGACGAACTAACGGTTCATTCTTTTGCTATGTTTGCAATTGATACAACTTTATTGAATTAATATTTTGTATAGAAGTCAAAATACTACTTGTTTACATTTTGCTACCTTAACGACACATTGCTTCACGTTCACCCTACTTTGTTAAGTAAACTTGTTAAACTTCTAACATGCTCTAAATTCATAATTCAAACATTATTAAACACATATTTGAAATTGATAAAGAATTGAAAAATATGAATTTCTGAGGCATAATGTGCCTTTGAGTTGTTTTCTACCCTCAGTGAAGTATCATGTAATGTTACTGTATAGTTTTATGTCCGTTAGCAAGTGTGTGCTACATTTTTCTTTAATGAACCACTAGATCGAAAAGCAATACACCTGTATAAAAATTTATTTTAAATGAGAAAATTTGCAGACCTCTTATCTTCAAACGATCAAGTAATGATCTAGAGCAGAGTTAGCAAATTTTTGTCCTCTTTATCACTTATTTCTATGTTGTTTCTTTCAACATTATTATTACCATTAATCATATTTTAACATTGTTTTGAACTATATGGATATATATTTTGAGAATCTAGTGTGAAATTTTTATTGAATGTGTGTATAAAGGTTGATGTTTATATATAATCTAAATAAAATCTTGAACTGGTTTTGTTGTTGTTTTTCTTTTTACTTTGTGTTATTAAATTTGGTGCAAAAAAGTTCTTAAACGCTGAAACACTTCAGAAAGGTATTTAAATAAAGCATAGAATATGTATTAAGAAAATAAAGTAATGAATGTTATAGTAGACAAATCAAGATGACTTTAAACAATACAAACAATTGTGCTAACAGTTAGTTTTCTATGATTGGATAATAACTGCTATTTTTGAATTCAAGAATGGAATATAGGGCATGTTTCATGTTAAAGAAAAGCATGAAATTGTCGGTGTACCATGTAAAATATAATACAAGTAATAGAAAGAGCATCGAAACACGAGATTATCTGATTTGTACGAGGGGGCGTAGTATAAATCAGATTGTCAAGTCTTTTGGTGTTCTTTCTCTTTTGTATCATAGTCAAACATAAAAACACGTTCCCTATTATCACAATATTAAACCCCAGAAAAATGTTACAAATGAACGAGCATCTGAATATGCTTTCTCTGCAGTCACAATAAGTAAAGCCGAGCAAAAATGAACCAATCAATGGGTATGCTCTGGAGTGCGAATAACTAATACCTGCTGTCCAGTTAACGCACTGTGCATGTATATGTATACGATTTAACTTTGACACGTTTTAAACAGAAAGGTCCCCAAACTTGGTTCAATAATTGTATGAGGTTAATATTCAAGTTTATCGGCCTTGCTAATACTATAGTACGACAGAGTATCTCGCGCGCACCACTTAATTATCTCGTGCGCACGACTAAGTAACTCGTTGACACGACATAATGTATCGTGCGCACGACTTAGTAGCTAGTCACCACGACATATTATCACGTGCGCACTACTTAATTATCTCGTGCGCACCACTTAGTAACTCGTGGCCATGACATAGTATCGCGTGCGCACAAAAGAAATAAAAAACACACACGTCACCTTTGTGCCACCGTAGATATGGGCAAATTAAAATGTGTACATTTAACAGAATGTCTACCATCGGTAGACTTCCTTTCTTGCCGTTGACTTATTATTATTATTATCGGGTTATCTGGCATACTCTTTCCGGTTATTGCTAAGTTATGTACGATTCATCTCAAAATATCAGAAAATGTGAATACTGAAATTTAGATAGTTATTTTTTATTTGAATGGCCGGGAAATATACATATGTGGAAAGATAACCAACGTGAATGTAAAATAACATGTATTTCATTTAGAAGGCATTGCGAAAAAAGTCCAAAACCTGAGAAAAACAGACAAGGTAAACTGTGTACTTAGCATTAATGATATATCTTTATTAATAGAAAATACAAATTGCTTAGCAAAAGTTAAACTAGCGTGTGTTTTTTTTTCCAAAGTTACAAGGAAATCGTCAAATTCCTCACAGTGATTAACAAGAGGATTGGAAAATTGTTGCGTTGGAGGGATTTTGCACCAAATAATGTACATTTTTCATGTACATGTTTAACAATCTAATCTTATTATCGATTTATACATAAAGCTGACAAAATGTCACATGGTTTGCCTATCGTGTATATACATTGATCAATGACACGGCTAGATAAAACACCTACATTTTAATCAGTAGTAGGATAGAAAAAGATGAAAACCAAAAACATGTACGTGGATGTTTATTCGCCACATCTTAGGCCTCTTTTTCGGTCCAACTAATTTTGTTACGTGTTGAGATATTTTGCTATTTGATGCCCTGTAGAAACATTTTCTGCGGTGAAATATGCGCCATGATGTTCAAGGGCAAGCTTGAACTGTTCATATATTCATTTTTGATTATTTTTTTACAGTGCCTTTAAGATTAAACATTTCTACATAAATTTCATATTTTATTTATGAAAATATTTGTAAGATAATGATTTTGATATAAAAAAATACACATGTACCATCAAAATAAAGATATAACTAAGCAGTTATATCTTTATTTTGACGGTATTTTGATGCCGCGTGACAAATGCAGTGTTGATAGCTATTGTCGCGTGACAAAAACAGCTTTGATAGCAAATACAGTGTTGATATATAATGATAGCTATAATGTCGCGTGACAAATACAGCATTGATAGCAAATACAGTGTTGATAGCTAATGTCGCGTGACAAATACTGTGTTGATAGCTAATGTCGCGTGACAAATACAGCGTTGATAGCAAATACAGTGTTGATAGCTAATGTCGCGTGGCAAATACAGTGTTGATGCCTAATGTCGCGTGACAAAACAGCTTTTATAACAAATACAGTGTTGATAGCTTATGTCGCGTGACAAATACAGTGTTGATAGCTAATGTCGCGTGACAAATACAGCGTTGATAGCAAATACAGTGTTGATATCTAATGGTAGCCAATGCCGCATGACAAATACAGTAAAGTTTCGCTTTACGACCGATCCTAAATTACGGGCAATTCGATATTAGGACCGCTTTTTCCGGTCCCGATTTTTTGCCTATATAATAATTAAATGGTCGTAAGGCCCGAAATTACGACCGACCCGCTACTACGTATTACGACCGCTTTTAAAGGTTCAAAATGTCACTTAACAATGCAAACGGGGTCCAATAAAACGGCCACTAATTAATTCTGCTCGCTAAATTGTACATGTCATCCATTATCTCCAATAAACAAACAATTTTACAACACTTAACGACAACCGCCATGAAGGTTTGAACGATTTGCGGTACACGGAAGAGACATTCAAAATATCAATTTACAGTTTGAATTTCAAGTGTCTATAGATGAGATATCAGTGAGATTAGCAGTTTGTGATTAAAAGGAATTGGATTAAATGTGTCAACGTTCCTGTCAATTATTATTCTGGATTGATGCGAATCGTAGAAAGACGACCGATGCGTTAACAACACACACTTTCGGATAGGTAGATTATTTCGTCTATGTTGAATAAAAATAGATATTTTATAATTCGGAGTCAGAACTTTTACAGCTTTTGCAAATTTAATAACAATTGTCTTTTGAAATAAAATTTAGAATCATAAACGGAAAATAATTAATTCAGAACAAAAAATAAAATTGATTTATGATGTTTTAAATGGATGGCAATAGATCTTTTAACAATTATAGATACGATTTAATTTTACTTAAACTAAAAAACGTATTTTTTTTAATTTTAGGTCCGAATAACCCTGAAACAAAAGAACAATAGTGGTGGGGGAAATAATGCATCCAACAAAAAATGAGTATGCAAGAGATCACCAGAACTCAACAACTGAACAACAATGATTAAAATGATATTTTCTTGAGAAAACTGTTGAAAATAAAAAAATTCTTTTCGATGTCGTTTTTAGTTGTATAAAATGGTGCATAAAAGTGATAATTTCAATAAATAAATAATCTTTTTGTTGAATAAAATTCATGTTAATTGGTTTATGTTATTCAAACAGCTATGTTTCAATGATCCCAATCGCTAATGATATCCTCCTACTCCAGAATACATATAATAGTAAAAATTAACATGGGTCTCCAAATTAAGACCGACTCGATAATAATAAGACCATTTTTACCAGGACCCCAAAGAGGTCTCAATAGCGAGACTTTACTGTACAGGGTTGATAGCAAATACAGTATTGATATCTAATGATAGCCAATGTAGCGTGACAAATACAGGGTTTATAGCAAATACAGTGTTGATATCTAATGATAGCCAATGTCGCATGACAAATACAGCGTTGATAGTAAATACAGTGTTGATAGCTAACGAGGCGTGACAAATACAGTGTTGATACACTGATATGACCGTGGTACTGCTTTACTGAGGAAATGCCGAGACCATCTTTGCATATTACATGTATATTCATTACATAAATTAATGTAAAGAGTAATGAGGATTACAATATTATTTAATGGCAGCCGATGCACAACTTATTCGTAGTTGCCTGAGCGTGTATGTACTATTATTTGACTATTTGTCATTCATTTCTGAGACCGAGGGGTACAAGGTAAACATCAAAATGTTCCGGATGTCGTGCATTTGAAATAAAAATCGATATATTGAGGACTCGTAACTTTGGGAAAATATGTTCAACATGATAAAGGTTTATTTGTTTTTTTTTTTTTTGTTTTTGTTTTTTTTTTGCAAACGACCGACTTCCAAAAAGTTTGTGTTTGGTGCGTTTTATCCATTATAACTTAACGAAGATAAAATTTATTGATTTATGATTAATATCATTTAAATTCAGTATAAGCAAGCAGATAATAGAATGTTGATACATTGTGTACTTTGGTTGGGTTTTAATATCAACTTTGTTGATAAGAGACCACTTCTGTCCTTAGTGTACGTATTATTTCAGGAACGAGCGTGTCATCGGCCTTCCAAGAATGCGCGTGTCTCAAAACAAGAAACACAAAATTTACTGCTGGAATAAGGAAAAGAAGCCTGCATATCACAGCCAATCATTTAAAGTCAAATTAAAAAAGCAACATATTTTAGGAGCGATTTAATATTTTTAAATTTAAATTAAAGTTATTTTTAAACGGTTACTAAAACAAATCCCTTTAAGAAAATCGCTATATTGTAGAAAGCAAAACTCCAAGAAAAGACTTAATATACATGTTTCTCCATTTTATAACCTAACTATATTCTTTAACACTCCATCAGTACCATCAACAGTAATGTCTTTGTTAACACGACGTCTATATCTTGAATAATTAAATTTATCAATTAAAATAAATCTTTAAGGAACATCATGCTTTTTTTTTGCATGATATCCTTTTTTAAATTTTAAATCTTGAGAACTTTTCAAGGAACTTTGTAGTTATCTTATCAAAGAGTACACGTGGGTTTTCATCTGTTGTAAAAAGTTAAACGTTTGACGTCATTTAAACTCACCAACACCGAAGTTGTATCTAAGTGTTGATTTACACTGAAAGTTTGTTTTATGATTTGGCGAGACTGGAATTCGTTGGAAACATTTTATACAAGTTGATGCTGATGTGTGCAACATTTCAGATCATTCATTACTTCGTTTATTCTAAAATAAAAGTTTTATTTTGTAACTCAATTCGGACTTAAATTGGCATTAAATACTGCCTTTTAATTTTATTCTGAGAATAGTTGATCAATGTAAGATTTTTTAGATTTCATTTGTTTAGGCTTTTTTTAGGTTAGTGGAGTCCCTGTAGGTGGAAAACAACAGCAACAATTATATTCGCATGTAAGAAAACATATATTCATTTTCAAATTTGAAATTAAGGTTTTTGTAAGGTATTTGTCTAATAAACCCATGTAGTTAAACCCTTTAAAAATGACACTGAAATTTATATTTATTTGGCCTATAAATTTTGTACAATCTGGAAAGAATCCAATTTTCCTCATTGCACATTCAACATTTTATCGGTGTGTGTATTTATAAACCTTCCAGTGAAATAAGAAAATGGATATTTAGAGGAAATGTAGTTTAGTTACAGGTAACTATTCAAACTTTGTTGTAATAATTTATTTGTTTGTCTCTTATTTTACGTCGGTTTTACAGGTTTTGGTCATATCTCGGCGGACGTTCCGCCTAACTGGCTTTCCAGGATAACGAACTGGCAATTACCAATTTATCTGCAAATGACCAACTACTTATTGAATCAGCAGTATAAGACTTTTTGTCCAAGATCAATTATCATGTGAACAAAAACATGTATTTGTATATATGAAACAATTAACGTTGAAAAAAAATGATTGAAAGCGAAAGTTGTGTCAAATACAATTTTATCACATTTTGTAGGCAAGTAGTTTTATCTCATGCAGATAAGGCAAGTTTTCTAAATAAATTTGAAACGTATTACTTTTTAAAAATCGTTTAATTGTTTGAATATTGATTATATTGATTATACGTAGTTAGATAAACCATATTTTTCGTAGTGTTATCTTTTAATTCACAGGTTAAATATAAATCACGATAATTTATCTTGTGTAATCACGCAATGTCCTTTTGTGATTTAAACGTCTAAGTTCAACAATTAGTTCAAATATTTCAAAAGTCTATAGACAGGTTTTTCTATGCAATAATTTTTACATTGTTAATTTCATATGAACAGATACGCAATGTAAACGCAATTCTTATTTTGTTAATATATTTTAATGTTATTCTAAAACTGAATTTTACATTAACCTACAATTATTTAACTTCAATGATTTTTTTTATTTGATGAATATCTAAATAAAATATCTTTAAATCATCAAATGAATTTTTGCTTATAGTTTTTTTCAATTTTGTACATAACCAATTGTTTCATTTCAGAAGACCTGAAATACAATAAGATGCCGTGAAAGGCTGAATGTATAGACAGCGTTGTAAATTGCCGATTTTTGCATTATGACAACCAACAAAAAGCGAGACAGAAGTATGGAACGTATGCAAGAATTTGACAAACGATCTTTGCGAGAAAATTGGGGCCAAATCCCACCGGGTGCTGCTGTAAAGAGTTCAGGGGCAAAATCAAAGGGGGTGTACCACCACATGAAAACAGTAAATGATCCTGATTCAAGATCAGTTTGTAAACAAAGAAAAACAGTTAGATCTTATAGTGGCGAATGTAAAACTCAACAAGCAATACATAGTAAATCCCTCAACAGGTCGGAAGTAAATCAGAAAAGAAAACGGAAAAAGAAGGAACTAAGTAATCATTGTTTTACATGTAGTAAACATGAGAAAATTAAGTCAGAAACAACTGGTAAAGAAATACAAAGCCAGAAGTGTGATAAGAAATGTTCAGAAGCTGACGGAAAAAATATTTTCAGCGGAAAGAAAGCTCAAGCTAAAACAACGTATCTCTATATTGTAATAGGCGATAACATCACTAAAACCAGTAATTTAAAACAGTTTTTAGTACACAGAATGGGAAATCCGACCGCTCTTGACTTTGAACTCAAAGATGTTGCTAATATACATTCATCACAAAATCTTTTGAAAAAGAGCATTATAAAAGTAAAATTCGAAAGTTATAAGAAAGCTTCTGCAGCCCGATACCTTCTGAATATAAGCAATAGAAACGTTTCTAGCAAAGTGCGATGTTTTTTCAAACGTACAGAGGCAGAAGGAGAGGAAGTGGACAACGCTTTGAAAAGAAAAACAAAACTTGAAAACACATGCAAGGAAATCGATGAATCAACTGAAAGAGAGCTAGACAAGCACGATAAAAAGATCAGAGATGTTTATGAAAACTTTTCACGTGTCAATGAGCTCCTGAAAAAAGGCATTCATATGTCTGAATTTGGCAAGATTTTTAACGAACAGAATGCATTCAAAGATAAATTACAAGAATTAGAGAGACAAAGAGTAGAATTCCTAAATTGCATAGCATGCATGAAATCATGCCTTGAAAATCTCATTACTCATGATAAGTTTGAACAAGAAGTGAACAAAATTAGAAAGGAATTTGGGGTTGAATGCCGACGTCTTTCAGTAGCTTTACCAATTTATGCGAGGCGAGAAGATATACTGACCGCAATAAGAAACAATCAGGTCTGCATCATTCTTGGTGAAACCGGGTCTGGCAAGTCAACACAGATGGTACAATATCTGTATCAAGCTGGCTTTGCAGGTACAGTATAGCTCAAACAAATTCCTTTCCACACTATGAAAGTTACGTTTCCACCTCTACAGATGTTATGTGGATTGTAAGAAACGTTCTATAAATGTATTGTAGTTTATCATATATGATTTATTCAATTTCAGCAAATGGTGTAATTGCATGCACACAGCCTCGTAAAATAGCTGCCTTGAGTCTTGCAGCACACGTTGCATCGGAGCTTGCCTGTAATGTAGGTCATGTGGTTGGTTATAAGGTTGGAATGAAGACGACATCTACTGGGTTAACAAAGGTACTTTTCATGACAGACAATGTTTTGTTAAATGAATGCTTGCAGGATAGAATTCTTTCAAAATATTCTTGCATTATCATAGACGAAGCACATGAGCGTAGTATTCATACTGATTTACTACTTGGCATGCTGAAAGAGTCAATCAGTGAACGACCTGATCTGAAAGTTATAATAACTTCAGCAACTATTGATCCCTTTATTTTCAAAGACTTCTTTGGTGGGCATAAACAATGTCCTGTTTTGAAGATATCTGGGAAAACATTTCCTGTAGATACTTTCTGGGATGAAACAAATTGTTTCGACAATCCCTTTCCAGAAGATTATGAAGAAAAGGCTCTCAGAAAAGCAATTGAAGTACACACCAGTACCAAAATTGAAGAAGGTGATATTCTTGTCTTTGTAACAGCAGCACTAGAAGCAGACAGATGTGTAGAAAAAATGAAAAGTCGCGTTAATGAGAAAGAAATCCAATGCTTACAGTTGCATGGAAAACAAAGAACAGCTGAACAACAGATCGTATTCGAAAGAACACCTAAATGTAAGCGGAAGATCGTATTCGCGACAAATTGCGCCGAGACATCGATAACTATTCCAGGCATTAAATTTGTAATAGATACAGGTGTTGTTAAAGAGATGAGATATGATGCAAATAAAAACATAAACTCACTCAATGTTTCTCCTGTCAGTCAAAGCTCAGCTAATCAACGCAAAGGACGTGCTGGAAGAACGGCATCCGGAAAATGTTATAGACTTTACACTGAAGAAGATTTCAGACGAATGGAAAAGAATGCACTACCCGAAATTCTTAGAGTACAAGTTTCTAAGGCCTTACTTAATTTAATGGAGTATGGGGTTAATCCACTGAATTTTCATTACGTTCAGTCGCCATCTACTGAATCCATGCAGAATGCAATGTTAGAACTCACTGAACTTGGTGCTATACATGATCTGAGTTTGACCGATATTGGTAAATTGATTGCAAAGTTGCCTGTTGAGCCAAAGTTAGGTGTATTGATAAAAAAGGGAATTGAAATGGATATTGGCATAGAAGCCATAGTAATAGCTTCAAGTTGTAATCAGACAGGAATGTTTTTTCGAGTTGGGACACAAGATGAAAGAAAATTGTCAGATGTTAAGAAAACTAAATTCTGTCACCAAAATGGAGACTTGCTGACACATTTGAATGTATACAGGGAATGGAATGCACAACCAGAGAAAGAGAAAGGAAAGTGGTGTGAACGAAACTACATTAATGGGAAGGTCATGAAAGAGATTAGAGAAACAATTAACGAAGTAGTATACACTCTTAACAAGGACGCAGGTGTTAAAATAAAGCATCATTTCAGGTCAACAAAAGAGGCAGATATTCTCGTGCAGGATCTTTTGTTTGAATGCATGTCCTCCGAACTCGGATATTATCTTGGACACGAATCAGCCGGTTATCTAATCCTCAAAAGCAAACAAAGGGTACAGGTTCATCCATCATCAGCAATAATGTCTCTTGGATACCAACCGACATGGATTGTTTTTAACAGGACATTAAAAACAACTGCAGATTTTATTACTGGAGTAACACCAGTAAATGAAGAAGCTGTTTGTGAGGCATTGACGACTGGGAAAATATCTTTCGACTTAAATTTCCTAGAAACTCAAAAAATTACACTTGCATGTCATATTTTGGTCGGAAAACACGTATATTGGCAATTCGTCGGAAACATGCATAAAAATCGTCAAGTCGTTGAAGATAGAATTCGAAAAGAATGCGAGGAAACTTTGGTAATCATTGAAACAAATAAAAAGCAAGGCAAAATAAGTTTATTCTGTCTCCCAGAATTTATAGACAAAGCAATCGTTATGTTGCAGAGAATTCTAGAGCCAATTCCAAGTATATTGCTCAGAGAGTCAAAAGAAATGTATATTGGTAACGAAAACAGTGGCATTCGTATTGTTTTGCGCGAAGGAGGAGAGGGTGTTGATGTTTTGCTGCCTAATGAATTCCGTTCCATCAAAATCTTTCAGAAGGAAAGTACACAGAATTATCATATAACAGAAGAAAGTGCCCGTGAATTATTTGAATTTTACGGCCAAGTTGAATCCATATCGCGGCCTTCTAAAAAGAAACGCCAACAAAAATTACTATGGGGAAATGTGACATATTTTCATCAGACTGATGCATCCGTAGCATTAGAAGAAATTAACAACGACGCAGACATAGAAATTGTAGGCGAGCAAATAGCATTGCATAATAATATCCCTTTGAATAGCCAGTCATTCAAAATGAAACTCACGTGGTTTAGAAGGCTATCAAGGGGTTATTGTTTTGTTAACGTAACGGAAGTAGGGGATATCCCGATACTTCTAGATTCAGCTCCGATTATTAACGGGATAAGACTCGAAGTGTCTCCTGCTCGAGAACAGTCTGATTTGTACATAACTGGTTTGACACAGGAAATAACTGAAGAAGACGTGAAAAAAGCCTTATTGGAAGTTCTTGAAAAGTCCTTCAATGATAATATGGATAGATTCAAAATAATCATCCCACGCACAAACGCAATTTTTAAAAGTAATGAACTCGAGGGAAAAAACAAACAAATTTCAAAAATGGTCTCTTTCTTTGGAAATACTGATGACTTTGATGTTCAGGTAAAGAGATATGGAGAAAAAACGGTTATTTGCACTGCTCATGTTTGGTTTACTGACCCACAAACATGTCACGAGACTGCAGAAAGAATGATAAATGGAAATGCTCAAATCGATAGGAGTAAGGTGCATGTATCTCTTGAGTGCAATTCAACTGTTTACATTAGTAACAACTTGTTCCAGATAGTAAAAGAGGATATCGATACTTTAATAACGCGCTACAAAGACAGAGAATCAAGTACAACTATAGAAATAGTATATATGAAATCAGGTAATGTAGCATTAATAATCAAGACACTGACCTTTCAAAAGCTTGCTAAAGCAAAGGCAAAAGTTGATGAAATAGTTGGCGGAGAAGAATTAAAATGCGAAGATGATTGTAAATTTCGAGTGATGTTTAGAAAAGATGGAAAGGAATATATTAAAGAAGTGGAAAAGGAAACTAACACAATAATATTGACTGACGAGAGAGTAATGACGGTATACATTCAAGGACTTCAACATAACAGAAATCGTGCTGTAGATTTGATTAAAGTGTACAGCACGGAACAACAATCTTCTCTTGAAAAGGACATTCGTCTCAAAGGGGACGAAAATCCACCTGGACTGATGAAAGCGTTACTAGTTAAGTATGGCACAGATTTTGAAGTTCTTAAAGAAGAAACAGGAATAACAGGTGTTTACTTAGAGCCACGTTTACATGAAATTACTATTACTGGCACAAAAGAAGCGACTGAAAAGGCTACAGAATGTATAAATAGAATCAAAGAAAACATATGTATATCAAGCGTTGTAAATGCTTTCGAGAATGAGTTACCGGACTGTCCAATTTGTCTTTTCCCTGTTGAGGAATCAGATATGTACATACTTGAATACTGTGGACATGCATATTGTCGAGTTTGTCTTGCGTCCCAAATACAAAATGCAGTGAAATACAAACAACTACCTATCATTTGCGCTTCAGAAAATTGCAATAAACCTTTAGTGATAAGAGATATAAACTTTCAGTTAAAGGTGGGAAACATAAAGAAAAAGGCTCTATTGGATGCATCTTTGGCTTGTTTGGTAGGCGACAAGAGCAAACCATACAGATATTGCATTACACCAGACTGTAGTATTGTGTATAGGACAAGTCGAAATGGAAATGTGTTCGTATGTCCAATGTGCCAAGTCAGGATTTGTACCTCATGTCATACACAGTATCACGATGGGCTTTCTTGCTTTATGTATAAAAACGCAGGGAAGGAAAAGTACGAAGTTGACGTATGGCTAAGGAGAGATCCAGTAAATAGAAAAAGGTGCCCGAAATGTAGATGTGGAATAGAAAAGAAAGGTGGCTGCAATAAGATATACTGTACTCTGTGTAAAGCACATGTATGTTGGAAATGTATGAAATATTATCCAGAAGCTGATGACTGCTACAGACATTTGCAAAAGAAGCACGGTTCATTTTATTGAACATCATTGCTAACATTTAATACAAAAACAGTAATGCCGGTACGAAATATCAAATAAACCCTTTGCGGTAAATATAGAAACACACAGATACTGTGCGATTTAATCAGAGTGAAAGATACAACAGCTCACCTATAACCATGTTTGAGTCAAAGCTGTCCAGTAAATTCATCCTTTAATATTTAAAACATTAAACTTATACATTTTGAAGAAAGAATACATGTATATTCTGATTATGGAAACAACGAAAAAAAAAAGTATGAAGCATTAAAAATGTTCAGTCATGGCAGACAGACAGCTTTAACTACTAGTCGGTGCAGATCAACTCAATAGGTTTTGATTCGGAGTGAACAGAGTTGGAAAATTATTTTGACTATTTCTCATATTCTATCGTAATTGTTTTTTCGAGGGATGCTATTACATATGCGCGCGTGCACACATAAATCTGATACAGGTTTTTTAATCTTTATTAACTATGTATCTCGTGAGATGCAAAAATTACAAATTCATTTTTGACAATCTTACCACTTCTTAGTTGATGTAAAGTAACAAATACCTGTCTCAATAAACCCCAAAAAAACTTTTCATAGAATTTTGTCATTGATTTTATTTGTAGTTATTAAAATATTTTGATTCTTTATTGGTACTTTTCAACTTAGAAAAATATGAAACTAGCAAAACTTTTCTTCAGATAATGAAAACATATTCTTTGTTGTTATTGTATAAAATTAATACAACAGTTATACTTCAATTGTCAATATTTTTCAAGCAAGATAGTAAACTTTTGTATTTTTTGTATTTATTTCAAGAATAAAGTACAGTTTATTAATATAAAGTTTTAAATGCCTTTTGAAAAAAAGGCGTTAATTATACACCCAATACCTTAAAGGAGATAAAAGAGAAGATAAATAAAAGAGGAAGACATGAAAATAATAAGGAGAAGTCAATGTGCATTAGTTATATTTGGAATAATCAGCAAAAATTAAAACGGTCTAAGTTCGACTCGAACCCGAAGCGGCATAATATGTCATTTGGCTGTTTTCGACATTTTAACCAACTACATTATAGACGCATATGCTGAGCTTTAACTAATAAACAAAAGATAGTAGGCAAAATACTATTGATATCCCCCATTTCTTAACCATGGGATAATTAATGCAAAAAAATGGCTGATTGATATTTTCGGACCATAATTAGAGTTTTTAGGCCATTTTCTTTAAACTATAATTGCCATTATATAGTTGATTTATAATTTTCGTGTTTATTCCGTAGATATTAACCTTGAAATTGTATATGTAATATAAGTGAATGTTATGAATGTATGGACACTCTGCAATGCGTAAAATGTTGAATTCTTCTTAATTTACTTTCCAGTATAGTCCATGAACATAATATTTTCAATTTTGCCGTTTTAGACTTTCTTTATTGATTCCTGTTTTATATATTTTGTTAATAAATACAATTGTAATTCATTGACTGTACTGCAGGATTGAGGCAGATCATTTAAGAAAATTTAAAAAAGTGTCATTTTATCATAAATATTTATCATTTTACAGATATGTTATCATTCAGAATGATCTTTTACAGATATTGATAAATACTTCTCCCTGTTGAAATATTTAAAGTGTTTTAAACACAAACGACACATCTGTATAGACACACTATATTATAAAGGCTGGTAAGAGTTTTGTCCCTTGAAGTTCAACCCAACAAAATAAATTTTTTTATAATACTTCCACATTTTCAAGATCTATTTCTATTATAGAAATTTTAAATTGATACATTTTCTATTATGGTAATTTTAAATTGATACATTTAAATTATTTAACATAATTATATACATTTTGCAAAAGAAAATGTGTTATGATTTACATGTCATTGATTGTGTATGTCGTATATTGGCTTCTATTGAAATAATATACTGTTATAAGCTTTGTAGCAAACATTTGAATAATTCACATCATTCATTCGTTTCACAATTTTTGTTAATTAATGGTGATGCTTCTGTGTATAATTAGATGATATGATTCACCTTAGGCAAAAAGTAACCACATTATATTCATTGTAATATAAAGGTATACTTGCACTTTTAGGTTATACAAATATGTCTGCAATGAATGCAATAATAAATGATATTTTGAAATAAACATACAGAAATAATACAGTATATGTTATTTAATGTGTAATTTTTTGGTAATTAACTAAATCATTTATTACACTCAAAATTGGCATAATGATATTAATACTTCTAGTCGATGCTTTCATTATAGAAATTTTAAATCACTTTTAAATGTAGAAAGATACCTAATATTGGACTTACCATTTATTTATAAAAAATCTTTTTCTAAGTTTAGGTGTTCTAACCACAAACTTAAAATAGAAATCGGCAGACATTTAAATATACCAAGAGAACAACGCTTTGTGTACATATTGTTTAAATAATAGAAATATCTCATTTATAGATTGTGGAATTTCATGCTTTTTTCCATTGCTATAAAATATAATGAAGTACGCCAACTATACTTACAAATTGGTATGATGGAAAGAACAAATTTAAATGATTTCTACTCATTAATGAACTCGAGTTTGTTGATACAACAATACGTAATATATGTATTTATATACACCATATTCTTTGTAAAGCTGACGATATTAATTAGAGGGACGTAAAATGTTTATCCATGTTGCTTTGTATATTATGGGCCGGTGGCCTTATTATCAAATAAATATGTTGTTGTTGTTGTTGTTGTTATTCAGTCAAATAGTCTAATAAACATAATTGACATGAAATATTAACGTCGCAACTGATTTTATTTAAGTGACCAGTGTAGACCAATGTAATAACGTAATAATAGTGTTAATAACGAGACTTACTGGCACGGTCAACGTTTTCGTCCATGTTTTTTTGGTTTTTGTATTTTCTGATCGCAAGATCAGTAAATACATAGCTAACATCCACGGTCTAACACAAAATTTCCTAACAGTCCTAACAACGCAAAGTAGTTCTTAACTCAAAACTGCTTAAAAACCAGCAATTTAAAAGAAGAATAATTTTTGATATAGGCATTTACGAATTACAGTGCATTGAAAGTTCAGATCAGTTCAATAGAAATATTGAGGTTACAATCACAAATTTCGCGGGATGAATATCATTTTTTAATCAATGAAAATGCTATTTTTAGCTATGTCGAAATTACTGAATACTCCAGGGCGTAGTTACAAATAAATCTGACTGCCGAGTAGTGGAATATATACATGTCGGACTGTTTTTTGGCGAGAAGATTTTCGCTAAATTATTTTTATCAGTGTTAAACAGGTTTATCGTGAACAAAATACCTCGAATTGATATTGTTTTGGTTTTATTAACCTGTCAATTACATACTGATTACGCAGTCGATACACCAGTATGTTAATCTTCGGTAGATGTTCGGTAAGTTCCGTGAGAAGTACGCTGTACGATAGAATTTAATTTAATTTGTATCTCTAAACTAAGTGTACTCAGCGTTCTATAGCGCAATAGGGTAAATCTAAGTGCCACACGTGTTTTAAGTTCGAGGCCTCGTTGGTCCATGTTTTTTTTCTTATTAATACTTTCAACATTATTGAATCTATATATGATTATTTTATGTTGTTCGTTTTGTTTGATTATGTTTTACTTAATTTTGTTATGCATATACTCTTTTTAAATAACATGTTTTTTTAAGAATTCATGTTTAAAATTAAAATGGATTAAAATCAATAAATGTCATTTCAATGCCGTAAAACACACTACTGTTCTATTAAAATATACTGCAAAAATAAAGAAAGAGTACTAAAACAATGGCAACAGTAAGAATCGAACCACAGACCTCTCAATTATCAGGCATTCTCTTCACCGACTGTCCTATTGTGAATTAACGAAAACTTTCACATAAAGCTGGCGTGACTTTCAATCGATGACTTATATACTCCACATTAATTCTCGTAAAACTACACGGACCAAACCGAAGTGGGATCGATATTTAAATGAGTCCTATAATGTATTCAAAATTGACAGGTCAATAAAATCAGACTATAAGGATTACAAACACGAAATGGAAATTCTCAATTTAGAATTACAATGTACATGTATTTGTTTTTATTCAGGCTACATATTACGTATTACTTCACCGTGGTGCAGGGGTATCGCGCTCGTATCGCGCTCGTTTAGGGTGTGAGAGGCCTATGGTTCAAATCCTAGTCGAGGCAACTTTTTTTTTGAAGTGTCTTTTTTAAGGAAGTAGCCACGATATGCAAGGATAAAGTGTGGCTGTCATAAAAAATGATTTTTAATGCAACTCTAGTCATGCAAAATTCCATATGTATCAATCTCAAACTGTTATAGAAAAAAATCTTAACGCAGTCGCTGCGTAAGATGAATTATAGTATATAAAAATAAACCTATAGGAAAATACATACAGATACTAGTAGTCAGTATGATTTAGATTGCAAAGATCAGAAAATACCACAGAGCTTGCAGCCCTTTGATTATTTAATTATGCGCATGCCTGACAGGAAGTCGACAGTACGACAGTGACAATACGACAGCACGATTTTGACAGTACGATGGTGACAATACGACAGTACGATGGTGACGAGTACGACAGTACGATAGTGATAATACGACAGTACGACGGACTGTCACTATCGTGCTGTCATGCATCTCCATTGTACTGTCGTATTGTCATCACTGTACTGTCGCACTGTCACCATCGTACTGTCATGTTTCGCGCGTTTCGTATAGCGAGAAAACGCGCTACCATATCAAGGTACTATTTAAAACGTCCTGGTTGAATGTTAATGTAAACAAAAATAAAATGAAAAAAAAAAACAACACTAAAAACCGGTGCACCTGTTTGACACTTACCAACAGGAAGTGTACAGTACCAATAGTGTAAATATTACGCAATATAATTATGAGCAATAAAATCTTATTTTCAAGAAATCCAGTTTTTTTTTAATTACTGATAAAAGTCGTCAAATGATGCTTTTAAATGATGGTTTTTGTATGCGCTTTTGGATCATCGAATTACTTAGTTCGACATGTTATATAGCTTGACATAACTTGAAGTCATGTATATATTTCAGGAACTTTCACACACCAAGTCTGTAAATTGATTATCAAGAAAAGATGATGGTAAATAAAAGTATGATAGAACGAATCGCGTACTAAAATGGAAAACATGAAAAATAGAATACCAAACAAGTGTCTGATATTATAAAATTGGCTCGGCTCTCAGCTTAGCCTTATAATATTTCTAATAGCAGACACTGGCATGCTCCCTTCGCAGCTCAGTTAATACACTCGCGTTACTTCACGCTACTTTTTTTGAAGAAAGTGAGCGATAGTGATGCGCAGTAGAGTAACCATTCTCTATTTAGCAGACATATGTGACAGTTCACTTTATTAACAGTAAATTAACTGATGTGATCATTAAATTTTAAAGTAGATGTGAAGTTAATACCTAGGTCTTTTTCCTTGTCAATGACTTAAATGTCAAAATAAAGTTTGCCAGTGTAACGTTATTATTCATTTTGTAGATTTTATCAAAATTTCAGTTCCTGATACGAATTACTTTTCCATTTTTAGGGATGAAACATGAGTAATCAGTCGTTACTCCATTTATTTAGTTGTAGAAATGTGTCATCGTCATGTCAAATAAGGTATGAAATCATTAGGCTACATTTGCTCACAATTTAACATTATGACTATTCTCAGCCACCATACTATTTATGTTGTAGCAATTATGTCCCCTGATCATTACGAAGCCTGACGTAATATTGACATATTTACGAAAACGAAAGTAGAATTGTTGGAAAGCGTACAGAATTTTCTAAAAATCCCGTGACACGTTCATATCAGTATATATTCTATGTTATCATTACTTAGAAGTTTCTGTGTGGCTTAGTTAGGTAAGTGTTTAAATTATTATGTCTTTTTTCATGAAATAATGACATATTTACAATGTCGACTTTACTGCACAGTTTGCATATTGATTTATGGATATGCATGTAGTGCATCATGCATGTAGTGCATGCGTGTATTAAACAGTTTTATTTTGATACACAATTTTATGCTAACTTTATATTTTATAAAACATTGCATCACACAAGTTCTAGCAAGCTATTTATACTCATATCTATTTTCTCGTTAAATTATATACTTTTTTGACTTCTACCTACGCAATCAGGTACAGTAATTATTAATCATCTTGGTTTTAAATCGTAATATTTTCTTTTGATATCGTCAAAATATAAATTTTACTCTCTTGTGAATACAGCACTGTGTATAATTTAATATGAACGTAGTATAAAATTGTTACAGTTATTTGAATAATTTAAATTAAGTAGATCTGTGTAGGGGATACGATATTTTTAAAGTGTCGTATTATTGTAGTTGTGGATCATATTTATCAGATTATTGGACTGGAGGGAGTTGGGTATGGGTAGTGATTGAATAACTGTATCAAATTACACCATGCTTTATGTAAATTATTCAATGTAGTCATCTACAAAAGTCTAGTTATAACATTATATACATATTTTAGATTATTTAATATCGTTGGCAAATATTATTTGGTGTTACACCATTTCCATATAGACCATAGGTGTTCGGCGCGTTGATTGTCACTACCCCCGGACCCCCGTCCCTCACCCACTCTACAACACTCGTACCTCTCAAAACCATGTAAACTGCAGTTTTCTTATTGATATGATGATATAGACAGCCAATTTCTACAATAACTTTACTTACAACATATATAAATCATTATCGTAAATTTAAGATTATATTTGATAGCTTTTCTTACAACTGAAAACATATGTGTTGGCATCAAAAAAAATTGTTTGCAATGGAAACTCAAATAAAATTGTATAATACAAATAGATACTCATATGAATTATTTTAGTGACTGTCTAAGGATACAGTTACGGCCGTATTTCAATC